CGTTGATGAGCTGCTTTGTACTTGAATTTCCAACCATGAATTGCACTTGGATTTATATTCGGTTGCCATCATGGACGGCGCCTTGATGTATCTTCAACCGTGGTGTCCATCTTGGGACATTTAGAGTAGTTTCGTGAAGCTTGTTCACATTCCGATGTCTTGAAATAAGAACGCTTGTTACTTGGCAGCCATGAGTTGAGTGAAATCCAGGGAGAGACGTGCTCGGACGTTCTCGTACTGACTGGACCTTGGTAATATGCAAAAATGTGGAAACCGGTCCGATACTCTCTGTATGAGCACCAATGTTAGGTATATTTTAACAGTTTCGTGAGCTGATTCCAATAGTTGTGTCAGATGCAACAGCTGATAACATATGAGTGGGCATTGAGAGCCTTAAACTATGGGGAGAGAACCATGGCGGTGAACCCATCGTGAGTCGAAGACCGCCGCATTTCACATTGAGATGAGAATAGGTTGAAGGTCGAAGGTTGGCGAGATGAGTTACCATGCTGTGGTTGGCGACTTTCTGCACCCTGTGGCATGCCCATCGCATTCACTAGACCCAAGGTTAAGCCTATAAACCCCGCGGCTCCTTTGGCCGCGCGTCAACCTTGGGTCAGACACGAGGTGGGGAATGCTATCAGAGCCAGTCATTAGATTTGGCTGTGGATTCTGGAAGCACAAGGATCTGTCAACTTATACATACAGTATGCATTGTATGTACTGTAGAAGATATAGGCTAGACAGGGTTGCGTTCTTTAGAAGGTACAACCCAACCCTATATCCCACCTATACTGCATTGTTTCTAGTTCGATTCGCTACTCTAAGATGGTATATGGTTAGGTAGGTCCTCCCACCCGCGCTTCCGCCCTAGCCTACCAAAGCGCGCCACCCTAGTCCGCCGCGCCGCCCTAGTCTCGTTGTGCTGCCCTAGCCGGCTGCGCTGGCCCCTCTCGCCGAGCTGTCCTAGCCAGCAGCGCGAGCTCCGTCGTGCCGCGCTGGCCCCGTTTTGCCGCGCCACCCCAGTTCGCCGCGCTGCCCTCGCTCGCCATGCGTAGCCCGCTGGGCCGGCCTCGTTCTGCTATGCTGCCCAAGTCCGTCACGCTGGCCCTGTTCGCCGCGCTGCCCTAGTTCACTGCGCTGGCCCTGATTCCACCGCGTTGGCCCTGTTCCACCGCGCTGGCCCCGTCTTGCTGCTCAGGCCTTGTCTCACAGTGCCTTCCTAGCTCGTCGTGCTAGCCCCAGCTAGAGACCCGCCAACGCAATATCGCTCACTCTAACGGCACTGCGGCGGTCCCTAACTTCCAGGGGTGTGCTCCCTCCGTGTGCACATTCTCTGACGTTTCCGTTGCTGTCACTGAGACAGTCCCTGTCGCCGAGACCGCCGTTGCAGCCTCAGCACAGCCTCGTGCAAGAGGTGCTGACGAGGGGTTGGGTGCTGGCACCTCAGAGCAGTAGCAAGAGCAGCAGCGGCAACAGCAACAACAGCAGTAGGGGGCCCCACAACCGTAGTGGCCCGGCAGCTTTGGTAGTGGTGGCCGCAGTGGCGGCCCTCGCAGTTCGACGTCGGGTGGCGACTATAGGTCGATGAGTTGCCAGTACCAGATCCAGTCTTGTCCCCTTCGTGGCACCGTGTGTGACCGTCCCGGCCACGCCATTGCCCGCTGCTACCTCCGCCTCGATAACCTCTTCCCTCTCTGCTTTGGGCCCACGCCGTCCCTCCCAGACTGGCACAGCCGGGTACGCCGTCGTGTGCCGGTCTTTGAGTTAGACATGGATTAGATTCTGTGAGAGTACGACCCCGTTCCATTTCTTTCTCCTTTCCATCTTCCCTTTCCATTTCGTTCCTCTTTTTATCCTGATTCATTTGGTCATTATCTCATGCCATTTGGATTCATATTCCTTCTTTTCCATAACCCTTTGGTTTATCCTGTTATTATCATTATATCACCGACCAGGCTCGGGATGTACTGGTACGCTATATCTAGCGTAATCCTGCCGTAATCCCTTGAAGCCAATAGCCTCGCGTGGCTTTACGCAGGGTGATTCTATTTTTTAGAAGGGTCTATTCCCTTGGGATAGGATAAACCTGGTTTCCTGATGTACTTTGGAAGTATAAAAGCGCCTTGTATCAATCGATAATGCAACCTTTCCTTGACACATTCGATCCTGTGACACTTGGTAATCAGAGCTTTTCTCACTCGGCCGCGCTCAGCTAAGCAGCAGCAGCGGGACTCCTGCCTTGAAAAACCGCCGGGGGCGACCAATTCGACGCCGATTCTGGTAAGCACCAGCTCCGCGCTTTTTCGAATTACCCCCTCCGCGCGTGTTTTGAACAGGATGACGAACTTCGACAACGCCAAAGTAGCAGCTCTTCGCAAGCATCGCTGCCCTACAGGAGTAGATGCGAGCCGACCGCGAAGCTTGGCGACAAGAGTTGGAGCGAGTAACTCGACTCGCCGGCGCGCAACACGAAATGACAACGGCGACGACGCAGCAGTCGCAACAATTTCTCGAGGCTCCGAAACCGCGCCCACCTGAGCCGTTCGATCCGAGCGATCGAAATTCCGACGTCCGCAGATGGATCGCCGGCATGGAGATCTACTTCGCAGCTGTCGGATGGAGCTCGCCAGTCTGGGACGGACAACGCGTACGACTCGCAGCGACACTGATGTGAGGGCCGGCACTTGAGTGGATCGGCACTAACAGCACCTTCATCCACGGCGAAGCCACGTGGCAGCAGTTCCACACCGACCTGCTGAAACGTTTCGAGCCAATAAATTTGGGTTTCCTTGCCCGGGAAAAAAATCATCGCCATGGACAGTTTGGGAGTGTAGCACAGTACACGCAGCAGATGGAAGAATTTTATAACGGCATTCCCGACCTGACCGAAGGGGAAAAAGTACAGTCGTACCTCGCCGGGCTGAAGACCGAAGTTAAACGACAAGTGGCAGCGACAAACTACGCGAGCTACAGTGATGTCGTATCGGCCGCGGAACACTTCGACATGGTCAACGCTGGGACACGACGGACGCACGTCGGCAGTACGCGACAGGGCGACCGCTCGGCTCACCCCACGTTCGCTCGATGGAAGTCGACAGGTTCGAAGGGCGGCCACGTCCGAAAAGCACCAATTTCACGTGTGATTTTTGCGGGGTGCCGGGTCATCGAATCTTCGACTGCGACAAAATGAAAGCCGCACGCACTGAGTATCAAGCACGCAACAGTGGCAGAAATCCTTTGGCCAATCAGAAGCCAAAAAACGGGACTCGCCAGTAATTGCGGATCTAGCAGGCGAAAAAGGAAACATCCGAAAGCGGCCGCGGACTTCCGGAAAAATCAACTTCGACGCAGCTGATTCGACGCAAACAGGAGAAAATGATGGGGAAAAATCTCCACCACATGACCAGTCTTCGCCAGAGGAAATCGCCGAGGAAAAATCTCCGCGAAAAAGGACTCTGCCAAGACGGGGAAACTCCTTGAAGACCCAAGAAAGTATAAGGATTCGTTAAAGTTATCTTATAAAGATGCTTTAATGGAAACTTGTAATTCTCGAGGGGCTAGAGCCTTGGAGAAATTTCGGGAGGGACTCCAAAAGAAGCAGAAAATCGTGGAGATCGTACCGGTACCGGAGAACTTGGGGACCAAATTAAGGAGCGTGGAAAGAAGCCGACCTTTCCACGGAGTCAACGTCCTCTCCCGACACAGCGACTACCCATTCCCCAAGGAAGATGTCGGTGAAGATGAAGCAGCTCAAGAGGAAGCTGGGGGTCTACAAGAAGCTGCAAAAACCCCGAACTCCTTCTTCGGATGCATCCAACTCGGCAACTTCGTCAACGACAGGAACAGCCGTCACGGAAACTCTGGGCTCTGGAGAAGAGCCTTTCTCCTAGCAGCCTCGGCCAGCTGCCAGCTCAAGAGTAGGACGCAACAAATATTGGAATGTACCTATGACACAATCAATGAAACTATCTTTGGGTACTCCGAGCAACGCCTGCCCCTCGTGCTCAAGGTCATCTGCAAAGGACGACGCCTCCAAGCACTCGTGGACAGCGGAGCATCGCACACCGTATGCGACAAGGCAACCATCGACCAATTTCGAGAAGAGTATAAGCCATCAGCGTTTTGTGCAACGATGGTGGACGGCAGCAAGTTGCCAGTGTACGGCGAAGCAATGCTACACCTACAAATCGGTCCACTGCGCTGGAAACCTGCTCTCCCCATCACCAACATAAAAGGGCTTGACTTGATCTTCGGGCGAGACTTCCTAAAGTGATTCAACCCCGAGATCAACTGGGTAAACTGCACCGCAAGCATCTACAACAAAGGAAGGAGAGTCCAGCTACCCAACTGGGACGATACAGGAGATATCCTAGTGGAGACACTCGCCAGGTTCGAGAAGGACGTCAAGCGGACCAATACCGGGTTCCTGGCGTTAGCAACAGACGTGGAACGGGATGAGGAGAAGGCCTCGGAACCTCCAAGAGAAATCAAGGAAATACTGAAGCGTTCCAAGACATTCTTCCCGGCGACCTTCCGGACGAGCTACCGCCATACCGAACACACCAACATGAGATCGTGGAGGAACCAGGTTCAAAACCGACCTTCCGAGCACCATATCGGCTAAGCCCCACAGAACTAGCCGACATGAAGAAATAGATCGAGTATCTCCTTGCCAAAGGACTCATCCGACCATCCACTTTACCATATGGTGCCCTTGTAATCTTCACACCGAAACCGGACGGAAGCCTGCGCATGTGCATCGACTACCGAGCTCTCAACAAGCAGACCATAAAGAACAAATACAAGATTCCACGAATCGATGACCTGCTTGACCAGTTTCGGGGAGCCACGGTATTTTCAAAACTACATCTGCCGTCCGGATACTGGCGGATAAGAATGGCGGACGATTCCGTTTACAAAACTGCCTTCCGAACTCGGTACGGATCGTACGAGTATCTGGTAATGCTATTCGGACTCACCAACGCACTTGCAACGTTCCAAGCAGAGATGAATCACATCCTACGCCCACTCTTGAACGAATACGTGGTGGTGTACCTGGACAACATCCTCGTCTACTCGCACGACAAGCAACAACACGTCGAGCACCTACGACGCGTCTTCAGAATTCTTCGACAAGAACGCTTCTACGTCAAACTATCCAAGAGCGACTTCGCCCTCGAGAAAGTCCAATTCCTCGGACATATCGTAAACGCTCAAGGAGTTCATGTCGGCCCCAAGAAAATGGAAGCCGTGCGTACGTGGAAGACACCCGAGAACGTGAAGGAGTTACAGCAGTTCTTTGGCTTTGCTAACTGCTACAACAGGTTCGTGCCGCAATACACGAAGATCGCCGCACCACTCACGAATCTGCTAAAGAAGAACACGCCCTATAACTGGGAACCAAGACACCAGGAAGCCGTGGAGCAGCTGAAACAAGCACTCACGTCCGCATCTGTCATCATCTTGCCAGATCCCGAACGCGACTTCGTCATCGAAGCGGACGCCAGTGAGCAGGCAGTGGGAGCAGTCTTGATGCAAGACCAGGGGAATGGCCTGCAACCAATTGCCTACCTCAGCAAAAAATTACAGGGGGCAGAACTCAACTACCCGATACATGACAAGGAGGCCTTTGCTATCATCATCGCCTTCAAAACGTTGAGATGTTATCTCAAAGGACGCAAGACAACAGTCTACACCGACCATTGCAGCCTAAAATATTTGAAGACGCAACCAAGCCTCTCTAGGCGGCAGGTCCGGTGGATTGACTTTCTTGAGACACACTTCCACTACGACATCGTGTACAAGCCCGGCCATAAAGACAAAGCAGATGCGCTTAGCCGGCCTGCACACGTTGCCGCTATCCAAGTTGAAGGGATGAATCCACTCCTCGAGGGACTCTTCACACATGGGTACACCATCGACCCCGAAATTCCCTTGGCAGAAAAGCGACATCTGCTATAGTGGGACAACGACATCGCGTACTGGAAAGGATCAACGAAGATCTGGGTACCTAATTACCCTTCGTTGCGCCAGTTACTACTCGAAGAATGCCACGACGTCCTGTATGCGAGACACTTTGGTAGCAACAAGACGCTCACCGGTATCGCCAAACACTACTACTGGCCCCACATGGCAGATGACGTACAGAAATTCGTCACCTCGTGCACTACATGTCAGCGGATGAAGAGCAGCAAGCAGAAAAAGGCGGGTCTGCTGCAGCCTCTTCCTGTCCCAGAACAGCCATGGCAAGTGGTAAGCCTAGACTTCATTACCGGGCTACCAACTACCACAAGCGGTCATGACGCGATCCTCGTCGTCATTGACAAGTTCTCCAAAATGGGACACTTCATCCCGACACACACCGCAGCACGCACCGAGGGGACAGCACAACTCTTTCTTCGCTACTTCATCTCCCAACATGGCATCCCGACCACACTCATCTCCGACCGAGACCCTAAGTTCACCAGTAAATTATGGAAAGAACCGATGTCTCTACTCGGGACCAAACTCGACATGTCATCTGCCTACCATCCGCAGACAGATGAACAGACCGAGCGCCTCAACCAAATTGTGGAGCAACTCCTCCGCGCAGCCTGCAAGGACGAAATCTCCAAATGGGACTTGCATCTGCCCGTCCTGGAGTTTGCCTACAACAATGCTACTTACGCCGCTACTGGACACATGCCGTTCTTCCTCTGTTATGGACGCCACCCACTCACACCTCAACAGCCAAACATACCAGCCCCAGTCCAAACCACTCATGATTTCATCACGACCATGCACAAACTTTGGGATCAGACCCACAAGCACCTTCTCGACATTCAACAACAACAGAAGCGCCAGGCCAATCGCCACCGCACAAACCACGCCATCACCGTGGGAGAACGAGTACTGCTTGACATGTGGAATGTTGACATCAGCCATCTCCCTTCCAAACTACGACCTCACTTCTGCAGGCCTTTCCTCGTTGAAGCACATGTCACTCTTGTTACCTTCGGCTTACGCCTTCCAGCTACCTGGAAGATTCACAACGCCTTCCATGTCCAACTCTTGAAGCCCTACCGAGATCCCAACACGGTCTTCTCTGGATGCTAACCGCCGCCGCCGCCGCCCGTCCTCGTCCATAATGAACACGAGTACGAGGTCGAGTCCGTGCTTGCTCACCGTCGTCGACGGAATGGCAACGTGGAGCTTCTCATCCGTTGGAAGGGTTATTATCCTTCAGAGGATAACTGGGTCTCTGAATCCGAGATGGATCACGCTCGTCGTCCTCTTCGCAACTACCTTGTCAAGCAGGGTGTTACGTCTACCACCCAGCTTTGCGGGGGGGAAGTGTGAGAGTACGACCCCGTTCCATTTCATTCCTCTTTTTATCCTGATTCATTTGGTCTTAATCTCATGCCATTTGGATTCCTATTCCTTCTTTTCCATAACCCTTTGGTTTATCCTGTTATTATCATTATATCACCGACGTGGCTCGGGATGTACTGGTACGCTATATCTAGCGTAATCCTGCCGTAATCCCTTAAAGCCAATAGCCTCGCGCGGCTATACGCAGGGTGATTCTATTTTCTAGAAGAGTCTATTCTCTTGGGATAGGATAAATATGGTTACCTGATGTACTTTGGAAGTATAAAAGCGCCTTGTATCAATCGATAATGCAACCTTTCCTCGACACATTCGATCATGTGACAGATTCGCTCTGCTATGTATGCCATGTATCCGGTTGACTCTAGTGTGACTGGACCTTATTTTCCTGTGTTGCCTAGTCTGGTGTGCATGCTGTGTATAGTCTAGGCTCTCCTACTGCGTCAGGCATAGGATCTCTTGCCTTGTTTAGCCTAGGCTTTACGTTAATGCCCCCACTAGCTGAAGCTACCGCCTCGCCCTCCTTCACGCTGGACTCTGGTGCGTCCGCCTGCTTCTTCTACGACCACAGTGCTCTCACGCCGCTTGCCATCCCAGGAGCTGTCGCCCTTGCTGACCCCTCCTTCAGTGTGGTAGTTGCACGTAGCGCCACTACACTTCCTGTCCGGCGGCTCCCTCAGGTTCTCTTACAGGTGTGCACATCCCGTCGTTCTCCAGGAACCTAGTGAGTGTCGGCTGTCTTCAAGACCTCGGCGCCACCACTATGTTCCCTAGGAACGAGCTGTACACCGTCTGTATTGACGTCGTCACTGGTGCCCCCCTCACCACATTCCTCCGAGACCCAGTGTCTGGCCTGTTCACACTGGACACCGCGCCCCCCCCCCCCCCCCCCCCACCCCCCCGGTGGCTGTGTCCCCCCAGGTGGATGAGTCTACTCAGGTTGCCGCGGCTTGTTCGTGTCGGTCGCTCACTCACCCATCGATTCTGTGGCACCACTGCCTAGGTCACCCTACACTCCCGCCTCTCCCTGCGTCACTCCCTGCCCTCCTTCCCTCGCCCGTGCCTTTGTGCACGCCTTGCGTCGAGGGCCGGCTGCACCGTGCTCCCCACTCCTCCTCGTTTCCCTCACCACTACGCCACTCCGGACCCTGCACTTGGACATTTGGGGCCCAGCCCCCGTGCTCGGGCCGCGTCGCGAGCACTACTTTTTGGGGCTCGTCGACGACTACACACACTACATCACAGTCTTTCCACAAGAGCGGAAGGCTGACGTACGTGACGTTCTTATCCCATGGCTTGTCACTGCCCATGTCCACTGTGCCCTGCCTGTGCTCCGTCTCCACTACGACAGTGTCGGTAAGTTCGCCTCTGGTCGGCTTGGCCAGTTATGTCGTGTAGAGGGCATCACCCAGTCGTACACACTGCCAGACTCCCCACAGCAGAATAGGATTGCTGAGCGTCGCATTGGTTTGGTCATGGAGATGGCTCGTACCTCCATGATCCATGTCACTGCACCCCATTTTTTGTGTCCATTCGCAGTGCGGTGCACCGCTCTCCAGCTTAACCTGTGGCCGCGCTCCCAACGGGTCCCCTGGTGACACGTTTGCGTTTCACGTATGGGGCTACCTCGCTTACGCCGTGCCTCTGGCGCGGACAAGCTCACCGCCCGCATCGTGTCCTATGTCTTTCTTGGTTTTCCCCTAAACGCTTCTAACTGACACTTCTGCCACCCGTCGTCTCACCGCTTCTTTCACTCACACAACGCCACCTCTGACGAGTCTGTTTCCATCTACACTCGCTTTCCTTTCCGAGGTCTCCCGGTTACCCCGCCCCTGTTCCTTGTCCCCACTCCCCCGGTAGCTCCCGCTCTCTGTCCTGCCCCGTCTGGTGTGTCTCACGTCACTCCCCTTCCCTCGGTTGCCCCGGCTGAGGATTCTGTTGACTCCGAAGGCCCTGAGGCTCTGGGGTGAGGCGTCTGTTTCTACGGCACATGCACCCTCGGCCCCTATGCCTCCTCCGCTGCCGCAGCCGCAGCAATAGCAAGGGTTAGTTGGCTCTGAGGGAGTTGGCGCTTGGGGTACTGGTTCTGAAAGGGGTACTTGTTCTAGGGGCGCTAGTCCTGGGGGCGCTATCGTGGCTAGTCGTGGCGTTCCTGGGGGTGGCGCGGGTGCTGGAGAGGGATCTAGCCTTGGGGGTGCTAGTCTTTGAAGTGTTGTCGTGGAGAGTCCCAGGGGTAGCTGTGGTGCGGCTGGAGGTCCTGGTATGGGCGCGGAGCAGCAGTAGCAACCGCACCAGAAGCAGCAGCAGTACTCGTCGCCAGTTTCCACCCTTCGCCTTCTCGGTCTCCCCTCCCATGATTGACCGCCGGCGCCTCCCCAAGTGCCACCTTCTCCTCCCGTATACAGTCCTGTGTTTCCTCTGTCGGACTCATCCCCTGCTCGTTTCCCCCCTCGTTCTCCTCATGTGTCTCCTCCGCTGTCCCCTGAACCTATACCCCCCTCTTGCTGGTGGTCTTACTGCCCTTATCGTGCTCATCCTATCTCCTATCGCTGCCTTCACTACGCCACGACTCTAGTCTCTGACCCTGCCCGTCCTTCGTCCATCGGGCGTGCAGCTGCCCTTGGTAGTGACGTCCTAGAGAACAGGCAGTACAAGCTAGCTTTCCTGTCCGAGGCTGCACCTCATCTCTGCTCCATGCTGCTAGCCTTTGAGGGTGACCCAGATGCCCTTGACATTCTGACCCCTCCCACCTATGCTGAGGCGACTTCAGGACCCTGGGCCTCTCAGTGGATAGCTGCCATGGACGCAGAGATGGCATATTTGAGATCTACCGGCACCTACGCCGATGCAGTTCCCCCACCTAGGGCGAACGTAGTCGATGGCCGGTGGCTCTTCAAGGTGAAGCGCCCTCCTTGAAAGCCGCCGGTGTTCAAGGCACGCTACATTGCTAGAGGCTTCAGTCAGCGCGAGGGTATTGACTTCTTTCAGATCTTCGCCCCGACCCCAAAAATGACCACTCTTCGGGCGTTACCTCACGTAGCACCACAGCGCGACTACGAGTGTCACTCACAGGACTTCTCCACAGCGTTTCTCCAAGGCAGTCTGCATGAGCAAATCTACCTGCGCCGTCCGCCAGGCTTCTCTAGTACTTTTCATCCTAGGACCCAGTGGTTCCTCCGGTGCCCGGTTTACGGTATGCGGCGTGCACTTCGTGAATGACACGACACGTTGCGTGCTACACTAGCAGACATTAAGTTCTTTCCGTCCTCTTCTGACCCGTCACACTTTGTTCACTCGGGCCAGACTCTGTTCTACATCCTAGTTTACGTAGACGACCTGGTCTTCGCTACTGCAGATAGAGACGCACTGGCCTCGGTGAAGGTTGAGCTGCGAGGAGACACACCTGCACTGACCTATGAGAGTTGCGCCGCTATGGGCTGCAGATCTCCAGGGACAGAGCAGCGCGCACCATCACTCTCACACAATCACACTTGGTGCGCCAGGTCCTTGAGAGGTTCGGCCTTCAGTTCTCTTCCGCACAATCCACCATTCTGCCAGTGGATCACAGGCTCTCGAATCCCGTCCCTGATGAGCCAGTTGAGCCCAGTGGTTAGTACGCAGAGCTCGTGGTTGCCTCATGCACCTGATGGCTTGCACTCATCGAGATCTTGCATACCCTCTTAGTATCCTTACTCACTTTGTGGCGACAGGCAGACTCCGACCCCAATACAGGTCGGTCGCTAAGAGGGTGCTGAGTTATCTAGCAAGTACATCAGGCATAGGGATAGTTCTGGGAGGACGCATGCTAGTGGTTCTCACCAGGTACACAGACCCCTCGTGGACGGACGACACTGAGACGCTTAGGTCCTCCTAGGGCTACAGTTTTAGCCTTTGTGCAGGCGCTATCTCATGGAGGTCCACTCGCTCGTCGTCTGTTGCACAGTCTAGCTATGAGGCTGAGATCTATGCTGGTGCCATAGCGGCACAGGAGCTCCATTGGCTGACGTTCTTGCTTACAAACTTAGGTGAGGGGCCTCGCTCTACCCCAGTCCTATACACTGATAACAAGGCCATGATCCTGCTGTGTCAGGAGCCTCGGCTAGAGGGCAGAGCGAAGCACATCCAGTTGCGGTAATCCTCCTTTGGAGCTACAGCAGCGCCGCAGGCACGCATCGTATACTTGGCCTTCGGTGCCAACACAACTTATATCTTTATGTAGGCGCTTGCGCCTAGAGATCATCAACGGCACTGCGTACAGCTTGGGTTAGTTCTAGTAGTTCCTCACTTGCTGCAATCTTGATTGTGTACTACTCCTTATACTATCTTGTCCCAGTGGCAGGACTAGTAGGGTCGCCTTTGGTTATTTTTGTTTAGTTTGTACTCTTGCTGATTGGTCTTCGGGCCCTTGCCTCAGAGGTTGGACTAGTAGTGCTGCCCTGAGCTGCGTGTCTCTTGCTAGGCACTGCCTCTTGTCTAGCATAGGGGTGTGTCACCTTATAGATATGCATTGTATATTGAAGTTATAGGTTAGACAGGGCTGTTTTCTTAAAGGGTACAACCCAACCCTATATCCCACCAATAGTGTATCGTTTCTAGTTCAATTCGCTACTCTAATATGATCCACCGACTCGCTCTTGGCAGCTGAAACACTATGAAGCACTGCACATAAGACACGAAGGCTCAAATTTCATCACATCAATACATGAAGGCATGTCACCAAAGGAGGGGCTTTGGCTTATATAGTGTACTCTATAAAAATAACATGATGTACTAATGACTTTGACTTCTTTGGTGAATACCAATCGATGTCAAGGAAATAAGCATAAATAAAATCATAATAATGTTCATACAATATCCAATAAATATAGTTTATTTTGAGGATAATATATATTGAACACAAATCACCTAAGAAAATTTTCGAATTGATTGATTTTTTAGGATTCGTATTCATATTAATATAGAGCAAAGCACGTGCTTGATTTGAATTATTTGTGTGAACTATGATGTCATAAAATAGTAGGGACTGGACTTACTGAGGTTTACAGTACACATGAAGTCCTTTCCAAGCTCATCTGTTTTCAGGCGGGTGCTTCAGAATCTAGCGCAAAACTTTCACGGGCGAAATGGGCCAATATAGGGTGGTCTGGTTAACTTATTGGCATTTCTCAGTCTAATGCGGGTGACCATTTTTGTTTCTTTGTCGTTCCTCGGGCAACATTGCGAGGCCTCAGAACGTCCCGTCTGCACGTTTGGTGGTCTCAGTATCAGATGTGGTATTTGTTGGAGTTCATTGGGCCTCTGTTTGTTGGGCCGTTGTCCGTGTGTTCGATTTAATAGGCTTATATATGGACATGTAGCGTCTCAAGAATAAAAGGTTCACCGGACTAAAGGTGTATGCTATTTTCTCGTGGATGCCTGTCCGTACAACACCCCCTTGCCTCCCACGTGGCAATCAGCACAGCAACCTCGGATCAGTGTGCGCTGGCCTCATCAGCTGATCTGCAGCTATGGATTGGTGCCTTGGCGTCCATCCGACCACAGCGTGGCAAACAGCATTGGGTGAGTGCAGCTTTGGAGCGTCAAGGTTGACGAGAAACGTTTGCGTGCCACCCCTCGTTGAACTTTCGATTCGGTCCATTTCGGTTTGAGATGAGTGGAATATCGGGCGTGCAACAGACGAACTCAATTACCCCGTTGTTTTGTGATAGATGATTTTACTTTCAGATACACGTCCAATGCTTTTATTCAACAATGTTTTGTAGCACATTTTGCAAAAATGATTACGAGGTGGTATATTGTTCAAAAGACTCTTGTAATACAAGTCGATTCGGCAAACGCAAACTCTGCTAAGCATCTTTTGTGCATGAATCAAATATTTGGCCTGTGGTATACCCTCGATTAGCAAATACACCTGGCCTGCGGTAATTTCGCAACTAATATTTTCATAGGGGATGTCGCAGAGAGGGCATTCACCCCCCGAAAGCAGTTCCTGAAGGCCGGATCTGGCTACCCTTGAATAGAATATTTAGCTTGGGTTTCTATACGAAACGTTTACTGCTTGATTTAGTGTTTCTCGACTCAGGAAACTCGACGTTAGGTGGAGTTCAAAGCTGGTTAGCTTAGGCAGTGCTCAAAGCTTTTGGCCCACACCTTCCATGTAGAGTCTGCCGCGCTTAGGTCGTATGAATATGGGAGTACTGTCTACGCACTCAGAAAGTACAAGGGTGGAAACAAAATCTCATCTGGCGCTCAATTTCAGGGTGTAAAAGTAACGCAAAAAGGTGTATCTGCACTTGTCGTCACTGCACTACTCGCATTGGACTACTGTATACCCTAGTTGCCCGAGTCAGTCACCCCATGTTTTTGGGAGGCTTGGACTGAAAGTGTCCCCGACACTTTGCGCACCTCGCCACGGAAAGAATGGGATTGTAAGTTTGTTGGAATGTTACGACTTTGGCAGGCGCGGATTGTGACGGGGGCTGAATTTGTATTTTTTACAATATCCAGGGGCTGAAATGGTATTTTCTGAATTTGTAGTTTCCGAAATACCCGGCGGACGAAATATGACATGCTGTCATGGCTGGTAAGATCTACTGTTGCCGCTGTCTTATCTGAGAACAGTACGGGCCAGTGCGGTTGCTCATGCTAGAAACAGAAGTGATGCGGGAAGCTTTTGTTAGTGAACCGAGACGTGACTGACTCGGGCAACAAGGGTACAGTAGTTTCATGTACAGTACATCTAACCTGCGACATTTTCACCGTGGGGAATGGTGTTTGGGAAACTTTCGTCGTCACCCTGGCCGTTTCTGGGTCCCCAAGTATCGTTCCCTGTGTATCTTCGGGCTCGTGCCCTGGCCTCTCCGCCTCCACTTGTTTGACGGGGGTCCTAGACTTAGAAAAAGGGTGGCACCAAAGCTGGGAAAGGTTGCACCTTAAACATCGTATGTCCAGAAACCCAAGTCTGCTCTTATTTTCAGGGGACGCTTAACCCGCCTCTTAGAACATGGCTATTGAAGCTGACATCCCTCGAACTGGCACCCCCGGGGAAAATAGCGGGATATAAAATATCGCAGGTTTGGTGTACGGGAGGCTTGTTCCGACACATGAAGCCTTCCACAGGCCTGTGGCCACTCGTCAAATCCGGATTCCCTACCAAAGCTACCCGTAAGTCCGTCTTCGGCCAAAGTCGTACTCGTCCAAGTCCGTTTTTGGCCAAAATCCCTCGAAACCTACGCTTACAGCCCGTTTTCGAGCCAGAATCGACCCATTAAGCCCCGGGTTCAGAGAGAACCAAATCCGTCAAACAGGGAGCTCACGGCTAGAAAGACCCATTAAAGTGTCGAAATACGAAAAAGTACCCCAAAAATATTGGACCTGGTCTGTTTGCCCCTCCCAAAAGAACTGTACACATAACTGGCAGCTCGTTGGCGCATGGGCAACGGTATTGACCAAAAGCTGATTCGGTCCGATTAAATGTCTTGGGTGGCGTCGAAAAGTGTCCAGCTTTGTTGGTGTACTGCACCTTGTTTCATCCCACCCCTCCATCCCATGAGCTCACTTCTGTAGGTCGTCTTGAGGAAACTCTCGGAAGAAATCTTCTGACCAATGTTCACATCAACTTGCCCTAAGTGTACGTCGTTTCAGCCACAGTCCACTGCAGAACAGCAGTTCGTGTGGTCCTCATTCACCCCGCCACGAACATCTTGCACTGCAGTTTGCTCTGCTGCTCTGCTCTGCTCTCCCCCAATTTCCTCCCCTTCCCTGTCCTTCCCTTCCCTCTCTGCTCATTCCCCTCTCCTCCACCATCCAAATCCATCCTTCGTACATATTGTCGTTACGGTACTCCAATTACAGCAGCATTTTCCCAGACATGGCTGACGTGTTCTCATCGAAAAGGAATACCCTCTCACACTAGGCGCCTGGGCTCTCACGTGTTATCCTAATCGTGTCCCTTTAACTCTGCTACCGTCTTCTAGCCAAACTCGCCCACACAAGGCTTTCCTAGAGTGCCCCGAAGCCTTCCCAGAGTGTCTCTAGCTTCTCTCGAGATTCTCAAGCTTCTCTAGAGTGCCTAGGGGCAACAAACCAGTTCAGGTGGTCTTCGAAAGGGAGGACGGACCCGAGAAACAAACCAATGGCGACGGGAACAGAGGGCGTCGGCGCAGGCGGCAGCGCGTTCATCACGTCCCTGAATCCCGCCGCCCTTCGCGCGTACGCCTGTGCCATGGAGAGCGGCATGATCGGCAACATCTGGTCGCCCACAGCCGTTGGATCTCCCAAGGTCCTCTCTCCATCCGCGGCTCTTGTCACGCAGCCGAACCGGACATTCGACACCCAGATATCCCCTAATACGAATGCGCGGTACGACGACGATTATCGCTCGGGCACGACGGGGGGTCGCGGGCCCGTGCGACGCAGCGACTCCGCGTCGGCAGCGGAAGGGTCGCACGTCGTCGTCGCCGCGGAGCCTGCCGCGGCCGCGCCGCCGTCCCTCGGTATCACCGGCAGGAGCAGGACGAGCACCGACGCGCCTCGAGTCTTGCCGGTTCCTCTCAGGGCCGGCAGGAGCAAGCCGACGGCGCGGTCGCACAGCCGGACGCGCTCCGTCAGCAACATTCAGACGAGCGAGTTCGAGTTCCAGTTCCCGCCGCCCCTCGCGCAAGGCGCGCAAGCGGAAGGGCCGACGGCATTGGTAGTCCCGCCGACCCTGGCGCAAGCGGAAGCGCCAAGGACATCGGAGGTCGTTGTTGCGGAGCCTGCGCCGCCGTCTCTCGGAACCACCGTTGCCGCTGTCGCCGCCGGCAGGAGCAGGACGACGGCGCGGTCGCACAACCGAACGCGCTCCGTCAGCAGCATTCAGTTCCACTTCCCCCTGTCGCTCGCGCAAGGCGCGCAAGGGCGCACGGAGGTTACCTCTTCCCCTACTGGCGCTACCCTCTCCGCTGGGGTGAAGGTGGCCACCGCAAATGACGGGAAGGCCAAGCTCGCCCGCGCCCTCACTGAGCGATCCAGCGGCGCGAGTGGCGCGGGTTCGCGGCGCGAGTTCAGTCGCAGTCACACCACCTCTGAGCGCGTGAGTGAGTTCTTCACTCCGCTCTCCCCTGCAGCAACCACCGGCGCTGCGCTAGCTGGCGGAACGGCGTCCCCTTCCGCTGGTCGCAGTCGCAGCCCACACAACCCCGCGGCTTCCCCCGAAATGCAGCGCGCCAAGCATTCCGCGGCGCCCCGAAATGCAGCGCCAGGACTTACCGCCCCCGCCCCCGCTCGCTGCTTCCCCGACCTGTACCCGGATAGCGCCGGCTCCGCCGATCCGCGCAAAACCTCCCCCGCCATCCCATCGGAATCTTCCTTCGTCATTGACCTGTATCCCGCCCCAAGCTCTGTGTTCCCGCGGTTTGCCACCATCGGGGACGTTCCACTCGTTGACGGCGCGGGCACTGACGGTAACGCTAACGCTAACGCTAACGGAAAGTTGCATCCGGCGCTCTCCCGTCGCTCCCGCTCGACAGGCTCTCAGTCAGCCGGCGCATTGGCCGCTAGTATGGGTCTCGCTAGCATGCGTGCGGCGACCAGTGGCGGAAGCGGCGGGATTGGCGGAAGCGCCGGCGTCGGCGGTGGGCGCGCGGGGCCTCGTTCTTCCTCACCCGCTAGTAGCGGCGGTCGGCCTGTCGTGCAACTCGCGCCACGGATGGGCTTCGTGGATTGGGCGGGGATCGGCAGCCCGAAAAGCGGCGGAAGCAGCGGCGGAACCAGCTTTGGCGCCAGCGGCGGCGGCACCAGTGGCGTGGGCAAGCCGAGGTTACAAGCGCTGGATAGCAGCAAGTCGCCTCCTTCCGCCAGTGCTTCTCCGCGCTTCCCCGTCGCCATTCCCTCCCATTCCGCCGCCGCGGCATCCCCCGCGGGATCTATGCCTGGCTCGCGGAGCCTCCCCCCTGCCATGCTCCCATATTCCGCTGGCGCGCCCCCGCTCTCCCCCCTTGGCCGCACCGGCAATGGCGTAGTTCCGCGCCCCACCCACCGCCGCGCGATAAGCGCAGCGCAGTTGTCCCCGCGTGTTCCGTCGCCGTCTGCGCGCCTAGTTCGCCCGCCGAGCTCCCCTTCTGTCGCCGGAAAAGCGCCAGGTGCCGCCGCCAACGTCGTCGCCGTCGCCGCCGCCGCCGCTGTCGCGCGCTCTTCAACCCGCGCGCGTGGTGTAGTACAACCAGCGAACGCGGCCGCTTCTACGACTTGCGGACCTGCGGCGGAAGGCGGTTGCGGAGATGCGGAGGGAACCGGCTCAACTGCGAGGCGCACGGGGAAGCCAATGCCGATGCCGCGCAGCGTGAGCGCAGATCCCGCATTGGCACATCCCGCGGGACTTGAGGAGCAGGCGCAGGCGCACGCGCAGGTGCAGCAGCTGCAGGCCAGCAGTCGCGAGCACGTGGGGAACTACCGCCGCGCGGCCCCCGCGCCTCTCGCGGTGCCCGTGCGACGCCGTAACCACAGCATGTCCAGCGTGGCTCAGGGCGACGCGGCGTCGAAATCAGCTCTTACGGCGGGATCAGCTGCGGCGAATGGCGGCGGACGCAGCGCAAGCGGCAGGGGGCAGGTTTCGCCAGGCGCTGGCGCTTGGCCAGCGCGCAGCCCTGTGGGAACGGCTGGGGGGAGGTTGGAGGGAACTAGCGGCGAATGTCGTACAGGTGTAACTGCAACGAAGATATTCTCGAGTATTTCGTCATCGCAGCAACCTCGCGCGCGTGGGGGTTGTGCAGGGGGATCTGATGTTTCTGGAGAGTTGTCGCCTGGGACTGTCGCAGCCATCGCAGCAGCAAGCGCTGCGATTGGGCGAACGGGATCGAACCTGTCGCAAACCCTCCCCGCGCGAACATCTGGCTCCGCTCAACCCTCCGCGCGGTTCACCTACGGCTCCACACCAAACAGCCCAGTCAAGCGCTCGCGCCTGGGCCAAACCGAAGCTGCAGGTTCGGCATCCAAGCTCGCGAACGCAGTGGCTCGGCTGAAAAATATTTCGGGTGGTGTTACAAATGTAACAGGAAAAACAAAAGTTGGAAATTCCAACCTCAATATAAGTCCACCTGGAACGCTTTCTCCTCCCACAGTCAAAACCCATCCTGGGATTCCCACTGCCAGCCCTCTCAGAGCCTCACCTCCCCCAGTTGCACCTAGCCCTCCCCGCTCCTCGCCTTCCCCAGTCGCACCTGCAAGGGTCGGTTACAGCAGCCAATCTCTCTCACAGCAGCAGCAGCAGCAGCAGCTGAGGCAGCAGCAGGCGTCGAGCAGGAGAACCAGCAGCGTGGATTTTGACGCCAGGAGCAGCAACAGCAGTGGCAGCAGCAGCAACAACCCTATGAACAGCAACAGCAGCAGCAGCAGCAGCAGCAGCAGCAAGAGTCCTGTGAGGGCGAGTGGCAGGGGGGGAGCGGTCATACTGACCAGCCCCTGCCCCAGCCCGTCCCGCGCCCAGGTGGTGTTCATCGATGGGATCCCCATGCCCCTCCGCAGCGCCCTCAAGAGCCACAGCATCGACAACGCCCTTGGGAATACCGGGTCCAACCTTGGGAATACTGGGTCCAACCCGGGGAATACAGGGGTAAACCCTGAGGGGAAAGTAGGTGCTGGCCGGAGCAATAGTGTTAGCCCTATTTTTCGTGACGGGTCCCCGTTGGTAGGGAGGGGGGTGGAGGAGTGGAAAGGTGGGGGTATTGGTGGGAAGGAGGAGCAGGTGTTGCATCCGCAGGTGCATGCCAGCCCCAGGAGAGTGAGTTTCAGTGGGTTTGTGGAGGTGCAGGAGTATGTGCGGGAGAGTGAGGGGAGCAAGAGAGGGAGGGGACGGCAGGGAGGGATGTGAGGGTGCAAGGGAGGCAGGGCTGGTGCTGCATCGGTAGGGTTTAGGGGGGGGGTGCACTGGAGAAGGGTGAGCTTGTGGAGGCCAAGGGGTATGAGCGGGAATATGTGCAGGAGTATGTGCGGGAAAGTGAGGGGAGTAAGAGAGCGAGGGGGTGGCAGGGAGGGATGTGAGTTGGACAGGCACAGAGGCACACACTCTGGGGAGTTGGAGGTGCAGGAGTGGTGGTATGTGAGGGGAGTAAGAGAGCGAGGGGATGGCAGGAAGGGGTGTGAGTGGGTTGATTGAGAGTCGAGGCAAGCACTGAGACTGGGTCTGTGGAGTGGGGTTGGAGGGGTGGTGGAATGTGATCCGGGTGTCAACACAAGGGCCAGCTACGCTTTCTAACTGCGGGTTCCTCCATTCCCTCCGTATTCCTCTAGGGTTCTTACTTACGTACTTACAGTTACTGATCCCAATTGACACTTCTGAGAATTACCTTCCTGCTCACTCACGTATTCTTGTTTTGAGTTTAGCCTACAGTAACCTAGGTGCAGCGGCTGTACCTATCCAGTACCGACTGTAACCTAGGTGCATTTTATTTCCACTGTGTATGATAGCTCCCCTCCCCTCCCCAGTGCAACATATTTTGCCACCATAAGCAAGCACACCCTCATTACTCAATTAATGGTACCTAGTACCAGTCATAGCTTCCAGTCATCTCCTGCAGTCAGTGAGGGTCTGACTAACAGTGACAGACCTCTAATGTACGGCAGTACATGCTATGCAGAGCATCATGCAGTGCGTATGCGCTTTGTTTTTTAGAATTCTATGCTATGCTACCATGCGAAACATGCAGCAGACAGAGCCAGCCACCCATAGCAGCCTCAAGTGTAGTACCAAGTTACCAACCACTCCATGAGAGCACGTACTGCCATACAACCGCTGCCGTTTTCCTCATCCCCCCCCGCTGCGTGCTGCCGCTGCGGCAATGTGCCGTGACTGACGCCCAAGGCAGCAATCCCTACAGAGTGTCCCGTCCCGGGGTACTTGGCCACAGAGAACAGGGCCACATTGCTTCATGTGTCAGGGAAGCATGCGTCTTCCTTCCTACAGAGCATTCTTTGTCACAAAGAACAGGGCCAGCAGCAGCAGCCTCATCACTCCATGTATGAAAGTGCCCACTGCAGCAGCCTTCCTCACACACGCCCTCTCATGCTGAGGCAGGCTACACCCCCTCCCATGCAGGCTACACCCCCTTCCATGCAGGCTACACCCTCTCCCATGCAGGCTACACACCCTCCCTTGCAGGCTACACCCCCTCCCATGCAGGCTACACCCCCTCCCATGCAGGCGGCACCCCCTCCCATGCAGGCTACACCCCCTCCCATGCAGGCTACAACCCCTCCCATGCAGGCTACACCCCCTCCCATGCAGGCTACACCCCCTCCCATGCATGCTGACAGGCAAAGACTCCTCTGCCTTCCTACTACAGAGCATACTTTGCCACAAAGAACAGGGCCAGAAGCAGCAACCGCAGTACGCCATGCATGAAAGTGCCCACTGCAGCAGCCTTCCTCACACACGCCCTCGCATGCTGCGGCAAGCTTCCGCGCCCTCCCACCAACCTCACTCTCAGCACCACACACGCCACCCATAGCGGCAGCCCCTCCACCACACAGCACAACCCCATAACCGTTACAATGTACCAGCTTTCGCCCGTTGGCTGGCGGTAGAATAGGCTTATCCCGAGGAGGAGAGGTGGCCAGACGGCTAGTAGCGACGTCCACCACTCGCGGCCCCGGCAGTTCCAGGCGCTTAAAAGGGTGAGGAGCTCGCAGAGGGAGCGGGCGAGGAGGTAGGAGGCGATAGGGATGGTGAGGGAGGCGGAGGAGGAGAGGAAGAAGAGCGCTGCTAGGGCGCCTGCGGTGGTAATATCGAGGAGGGCGTAGCATGCTGCGTGGACACGTTCTGCTCCCTGCTGGAAGTGGGGAAGGAGGGTGGAGAGGAGGGCGGGGAGGAGGGTGGGGAGGAGGGAGAGGACGAGAAGATTAGTGCGAGGAAGAAATGGAGGAGAGGAAGCAGAGGGCTGTTAGGGTGCCTGCAGTGGTCATGTCGAGGAGTGCTTGGCACGCTGCCTGTACGCGCTCTGCGCCCAGCTGGAAGGGGGGAAGGAGGGTGGGGAGGTGGGAGACGACGAGATGATGAGGATGCAATGGAGGAGAGGAGGAAGAGGGCTGCTTGGATGCCTGCGGTGGTCATGTCAAGGAGGGAGAGGGATGCGGACGAGAAGGTGGGAGGCGATGGGGGTTGAGAGGGAGGCGGAGAAAGGGGATAGGAGGGAGAGGGATGCTAGGACGCCCGCTTAGAACTACAGGTGAGCCAGAACGTACCAGCAGTGACCTACAGGTGAGCCAGAACGTACCAGCAGGGACCTACAGGTGAGCCAGAACGTACCAGCAGTGACCTACAGGTGAGCCAGAACGTACCAGCAGTGACCTACAGGTGAGCCAGAACGTACCAGCAGGGACCTACAGGTGAGCCAGAACGTACCAGCAGGGACCTACAGGTGAGCCAGAACGTACCAGCAGGGACCTACAGGTGAGCCAGAACGTACCAGCAGGGACCTACAGGTGAGCCAGAACGTACCAGCAGGGACCTACAGGTGAGCCAGAACGTACCAGCAGGGACCTACAGTGACCTGCGAGCAGCGATCCCCTTTCACCAAGCACCCAGTGGGCGGCCCCTTGGCCTGAAACAGCAGCAAGACGAGCGCCGTCCCACCAGCAGTGACCTACAGGCGAGCAAGGCCAGTACTTACCAGGAGCAACCGCAGCATGAGGCAGTAGCCTGCGAGCAGCACGCCCCGTCCACCAAGCACTCCCATGACTGCCAGGCACACAGCAGCCGGCCCTCTGGCCCAGAACAGCACCGAGAAGAGCGTCATTCCACCAGCAGTAACCGCCATGGCTAGCAGGAGCAGCAGCCACACATATTCCACCATTTTCCCCATGGGTATTCTTCCCGGTAACCCCGGGACAGCGAGGGTATCTTCCGGTTTCCACCTGTGAGTTTTGGAGCGGGTTTCCTTCCAGCTTCGGCCGTCGTCCCAGTCCCCGAACCATTGGACTTTTTTGGACGGATCCAGAACGATTTCTGAGCCCAGCAATGGTTGCAGAGCGGTTGGATCCGGTACTGTGCTGCTGCGTGGTTGTCTGCATGGCTGTTTGAAACTGGTGCTGTGTGTGACCTGCAGCCTCTGGTTCTCGATAGTAACTGCCTCGTTAGCGTCACAGGGCTCCATGAGAACACTTGCCATGTTGCTAGGGCTGCCCATCGTTACCACCGGGTCTTCTTCTGCACTGCTGCTACCGCCATGGCTGTTCCCATGGCTGTTCCCATGGCTGTTCCCTCCTGCACTGTGCATGATATCTGCAGGACTGCAGGCAGCAGCAGTACTACCAGCAGCACTTCCCCTGCTGCTGGCTCTGTTGTTGCCCCTGCTGCCCCTGCTGCCCCTGCTGCTTCCGCCCGCACCGCGCATCAGCACTGCAGCTCTGACGGCATCCGTGGGTTCCTGAGGCGCCTCACCAGCAGCACTTCTCCTGCTGCTGGCTCTGATGCTGTTGCTGCCCGTGCAGCTCCCACTCCCCCCTGTACTGTGCATCAGCACTGCAGCTCTGATGGCCTCAGTGATTCCATGTCTCCTGCTGATGCTGCTGCTGCTGCTCCCACCAGCACTGCCCTGGCTGCTGCTGCTGGTTCTGCTGCTGATGCTGCTGGTGGTGGTGCTGCTGGTGCTTCTAACACCCTGGGTGTTGTCACCTGCTTGGATCGACTCATCAATGTGGTGACAGCCACCACTCTCACAGGGACACGTGGCAGCTTCTCCAGGCCCTGGAGCAGATCTCATCCCTGACGTGGCATGTCCGTATTGGTGGCTCCATTGGTTGGCAATTCCTAGTGATGATTCTACATTACTGTGACAGCCAGTTTCCGCTTCGTTCTTCTCAACCGCCACCGTTACTGTGACGGTACTACTCCTCCTGCTGCTTCCGATGCGGATACCACCACCACCACTGATGCTGCTGCTGCTGCTGCTGCTGCTGTGCACCGATCTTGACCGTTCCCCACCAATTGGCCCACCCTTTGCCACCCTTCCGCCACTGTCACCATCATCAACAGCATCATTTTTCTCACCATCGTTACTATCATCGCCTTCTTTTTCATCGTCACTGTCGTAGCAGTCGTGGCTGTAACGAAACGGGCTGGCGTGCAGAAACGCGTACGGATTCCCCCTCACGCTCGCGCTCTTGCTCTGTGGAATGTAGGCGGGATGCGGCGCCAATGGGGAGGGGGAGGCGGCGTAGTAGCTTCCGGAGGGGGAGTAATGGAAGCGGTCGGCGGAAGGGGGAAGCGGGGAAGCGGAGGCGGAATAGGCAGCAGCGCAAGGGGAAGGGGATGCGGGGGAAGAAGCCGCGGCGGTAAGCGGAAGATCGAGGCGGAAAGAGGATCGGCGGAGATTACTCGAAGAAAGAGAAGAGGAAGCTTCGGACTCCAGGTATCGCGACATGAGCCACTCGTGCCGCGGCGTTCTGTCGTGACCCGCCGCGGAGCCGCCGCTAACCGACATAGACCTCGTGTGTGCGCCAACTGCGGCGGTGTTACTCCTCCTCGTACTGCTCGACGTTTCCGCGTATCCCGCGAATGCCACCGCGGCGGCGGGCGCAAGCTCCGCATATCCCTCGTGGTCGATACGCGCCATCACCGTCGCCGCGGCGGCAGCGTCATTATTGGGGGGAGGATGTTCCCCCATGTCCGCGCCTTCCGCCGCCACTGCCGCCACCACCTCGCGGCCTCCCGCCGCTGACCCTTCCGCGGCCGCGCCGTCCATGCTGCTTCCGCTTCCGCCGCCCGCGCTCCTGACCGATCTCGCCGACCGAGAGCGCACCATCGCTTCCGAATCGATTCCGACGGAGAGCTCCGCCATTAGCTGCTCCGCGTCGGGGGAGCTTAGGTCCGAAAACGAGCTATTATCGGAGTCGGAGTCGTACGCGTTAGAGTCATCTGACGAGTCCTCGTCCTCGCTACAAGACTCGATGGTCACCGCCCATAGCGGAACGGAATTCCGCCGCATCCCCGTGCATCCACCGCCGCCGCTTCCGCGTGGGGGGCGCCAGAGCGGCGGGCGGCCGCCGCCGGATGGCGCGATTCGGGCGATCGCGGGGAAGCATGAGCCTTGTTGCGGCGCCAGTTTTGGCTTCCGTGCGTTCTTGGTGGTTACTCTTGAGGTGCCTCAAAAGCGATCTTGGTGGTTGCTGTGATTGTTGCGTCGAGCGTGGAAAGATACCTGAAAAAAAAACACGCGATTCTGACTAATTGCAGACTACTAAGAGGTTGCGATTTCGGACTATCTTGTCAGCTCTGTCGGGCAAACCTCCAGGGAGCGTGATAGGCGAAGTATGTGGAAACGAAGAGGAGGTAAATGTGCTCTCTTGCTACCTTTTTGCCTTTATGGCTGTCGAAAGCGCATAGTGAGGAGTAGCCGTAAAGGGACAACGGCCTCATATTCCCGGACGAGCCGTCGCAAAGACGCCAGAATGAAATCACGGAAAAGTTGCTAGGGTGAGGAAAGGCACAAATAAACCAGCTGCTGTACAGCTGAAAGAGCAGTCAGTCAAGAGGGGAGAAATGTGGGGTGGACGACAAGTGGAAGCAAATGGCGAGCGAGATACGGCACAAGCTGAGGGCGCTGGTGAAAGGTGTGGGTGAAACAGAAGCAGTCCGAACCGCAACGAGGAATTTCGTGCCAATTTTGGAGATGGACGATCATCCCATTGGCCTTCCTGGATGCTGGTTGGTTGGCTTATGTATCTCCGGGTAAGCGAAACGTACGAAAGCCGCGTTACTTCCTCGTCGCTTCGACGAGCCGCTCACGACATTCAGACGCGTTTTGGACGGAGTGCAGTTTTTCATGGTGGTTGACCGACTCAGGAAGCATCGAGTGACTGCGGGCAGGTGGCAAAGATTCCGCGAAGAGAGTCCGAGCGACATTTCTCACCGTCCGATCAAGTCTAGCTTTCTGTGATTGGTTATTGACAGTCCTCCCTACACGACACCTCTGCGCTTGAAATAAGGAAGTAGCAGTCTGTATGAAGTATAAACAACCACCCATAATAGGAATGACGAAGTTGGCTATAGTTCATCTAGGACTGGAAGCCATATCCTAAAAAGCCATCGCCCAAGATCAGGAAAAATCCACACTGGTCACACTTGCCTGCTTCTGTGAGTTGCTAAGTAACTGGCGAATCAACCGAAGCTTTGCGTGGTTTGCTTCTTCTGAACCATGAGCACCCATCATACACCCGTCCTCATATCCCTCATCCAATACACTACCATCAGCAGGTGCCTGTTTTTGCGACTCTTCTTGTCGCTGTACTTCTGCTTGTACCCCCCCGCTGCTGCTGCTGCCGCTGGTGGTGCTTTTCCAAGGGGACGACCACCCAGATGGCCAAAAGGGGGAGGAGCTGGGTGGGGTGATTGTAGGATGGGAGAATCGAGCAGTGGGGGTGCTTGGGGACTTGCTTCGAGGCGTAGTGCTTGTACGGGTGGTGCTCTTAGGAGTCGTGCTCCTCGGAGAGAGGCCCTTCGGGGTGGTGCCAAATGGAGTGGTGCCCTTAGGGGTGGTGTTCTTAGGGGTGGTGCCCTTAGGGGTGGAGCCCTTAGGGGTGGTGCTCTTAGGGGTGGGGCCCTTAGGGGTGGTGTCCTTTGGGGTGCTGCTGCTAGGATTGGCGCCCTTAGGAGTGCTTCTATCAGGGGTGTTACTCCTGGGGGCCCTGGTCCTAGGGGTGGTGCTCTTGGGTGTTGTGCTCCTAGGGGTGGTGCCTGTAGGGGTGTTTCCCCTAGGGGTGGTACTTGCAGGAGGGGTGTTCCTGGGGGTGGTACCTGTTGGAGTTGTGCTTTTAGGGGTGGTGCTGGAAGGTGGTGTGCGTATTGGGGTGGTGCAAGTAGGGGTGGTGCAGGTAGGGGTGGTGCCGGTATGGGGGGTGCCGGTAGGGGGTGTGACAGTAGGCGTTGAGCCTCTAGAGGTGCTGCTGCCCTGTGGGTTGAGTCCTTCACAAGGGGTCAGTCCCTTTGGAGTGACTGTTCTAGAAGAGACTATAGAGGGGCCCCTATGGCCCTCCCTATATTCTCCCCAAGAGGCCTCTTTAAAGCCCCCTTCAAAGGCCCCTTTAAAGCCCCCTTCAAAGGCCCCTTCAAAGCCCCCTTTAAAGCCCCCCCTAGGAGTCCACCTAGCACCAATCCTGGAACCACCATTGCCCATACCAGGCCTCCCCAACCCAGCCGCCGTCTGTGCTGCCAGCGCCTCACGGGTCATGATAGGCTTGGGAGACATGCCACGTGGCAGTTTCCCATAGGCTGCTGGGCCGGGTGTCAGAGCCGTCACTGCTCGCGCTCCTGTCCCTGCTGCTCCTGGTCTTGATCCCCCCATATAGTCACGCACGGACATTGCACCACGCTCTAGCAGCCCATACTCGTTATAGTCACCCTCCTCCTCCTCGTCACCAGCAGCATCAGAGGGAATGGCCACTCTTAATCCCTTACAACCGCTCCAGGCCATCCCAGCATCCCCTTGCACCCCTGTAGCTGCTGGTAACCCTACACTGCGAGCAGACAATAAGGGGCCTCTTCCACTGCTCCCTCTCTCTGCCCTGCTCCCAATGCCTCTGCCACTCCCTGCGTCTGCCCTGCTCTCAGTGGCTTGGCTGCTCCCTGTGTGTGACTGAGACTTGAGAAGCAGGCGCGGGGTGGGTGGCAGTGGAGAAGAAGGGATTGGAGTGGTAACCCTGTAACCCTCTGCGGTGGTGGTAACGCTGCAAGTTTGCTCTGCAAAACCATGGAAACCCCCGTCTGCTACCTCTCTCGTTTCTACTGCATCTGCCTCACAGCAACTGCCCTCTACTTGTCGTCCCTCCTCCTCCTCCTCCTCCTCCTCGTTCCTCTTCGCCTCGATCTTCTTCACCTTCTTACTCTTTCTCCTCCTCGCTCCCTCTTCAGCATTCTTTACCAAGAGGAGCTCCTCGTCCCCTTCCCCACTCGCTCCTTTCTTTCCCACCTCCTTGCTCTCCGTAGCCTTCTTTCCCTCCCTTCCCTCCCTTCCCTCCCTTCCCTCCCTTCCCTCCCTTCCCTCCCTTCCCTCCCTTCCCTCCCTTCCCTCCCTTCCCTCCCTTCCCTGCTTTCCCCCTTTCCCCTCCTTGCCCTCCTTAGCCTTCTTTCCCTGCTTTCCCCCTTTTCTCTCCTCGCCCTCCTTGCCCTCCTCGCCCTCCTTGCCCTCAACCTGTAACCGTGTCCCGTTCCTTTCCTTCTTCTTCCCTTCCCCCTTCTCACCCGTCTTTATCCCCCTTGTTCTTACCCCCTCTCCCTCTGTCCCATCATCTCGTGAACCCATTTTCCCCTCACTACCCACTTCCCACTCTCTCCCTTTCCCTTCTCGCTTCTTTGCACCAATCCTTCCTGTGCCTTCACTCCCCATTCGCTCCTGCCTCCCCTCTGTCCCATCACCACCACTACCATCACCTTCACTCTCCCTCTGCCCATTCCGTCCCTTCCTTCCATCTAGTTCAACTGCCCCCTCACCATCCCCATCACCACCACCACGACCGCCACCACCAACACCACCATCAGCACCACCAGCATCACTATACTCTAAATCCTGCACCCTCCAAGCATATCCCGACCCAATGGTTCGCGATCGAAGCAGCTGAACCAACGGCACCTCATACTCCTCTTCCTCCACCTCCTCCGCCTCCTCCGCATCCTCCGCCTCCCCTTCCCCTTCCACTCCACCCCCCCATTCCTCTCCATCCCAATCTCCTCCTCCATCCCATTCCGCCCCACTTCCCCCCTGCTGCCCACTGCCCTCCCTTCCCTTGCTGCCACGGGCGGCATGTGTAGCCGGGGAGACTGGCAATCTCGTCTCCTGCTTCCGTGAGTCCAGCCCAGGGGTTGCTATGGTCTTGGATCGAATGATCCTCGTCTTTTCTCCTCGAAGATGCAGCGGATCGAGTGTGTCGTCTGCTGTATTTTCTATTTCTAGACTCGGCTCCCCACACTCACTCGTAGCGACCCCATACCCATTCCCCTTCTCCTCATCTCGAAAGCCTAAACGCCAACCTCCTCCTCTCCTCACCCTCTCCCCTCCTCCCCCTCCTCCTCCACTCCCTCCTCCTCCTCCTCTTCCACTTCCTCCTCCTCTTCCCCACCCTCCTCCCCACCCACCCCCTCCTCCCCCTCCCCTTGGCGTCACTGCCTGCAAAGCAGCAGCTGCCACTTGATTCCCCGCAGCCCTCAACCGCACCCCACCCCTCTCCTTGTGTGCACCCAAAGCAAGCCCCTCTCCCCTCCTCTCCTCCGTCCCCCTTTCCCCAAAATCCCCCAGCCCTCCACTCCCCCCTAACCCTCCACTTCCGCCCCGCCTTCTGCTTCCCCCCAGCCCCCCTGCGATCACAGCAGCACAGTCCAGCAGCGCCTGTCTCTCTCTCTGCTTCGCCCGGGCCCGCTGGCTACTGACTTGACGAGTCAAGGTGGGGCCGGGCGAGAGAGGGGAGGAGGAAGAGAGAGGAGGAGTGGGAGGGGAGAGAGGGGGGGAGGGGGCGGCAGCGGATGCGAGGTCCACAAACTGGGAGAAGTCGGTTTGGAAGAGCTGCGATATGAAGTCCTCACGCACGCTCCTCTGGTGCCGAGTTGGTCCTAGAGAATTCTCCAACACCAAGAGCTGAGAGGCAAAGTCCTCACTCATGCTCCTCTGGTGCAGCCCGCGGCGGCGGCGGCACCGATGCTGCTGCTGATTTCTCCGCTGTGGCATGTTACACTGCCTCCGCTGGCTGCTGCTTCGCCCTCTTCCTGTGGCAGAGGCTGCAACTGCCGCTGCGGTCTGTGCGTCCATCTTCTCAGCTTCAGCCGAAGCAGCTGCTGCCTCTGCCTCTGCCTCTGCCTCTTCCGTCCGGGCCTCTCTAAGCATAGTTATCGACCGAAGGAGGTAGTTGCCCTTAGTCGCTAGCAGCTCGGCGCCACGCGTGGATTCCCCTGCCCTGCCTGCTGCCTCTGCCTCTTCCTCCCTCGCTTCCCTTAGCATGGTGATCGAGCGCAGTAGGTACTTCCCCTTGATGGCTAGTAGCTCAGCATCAGCCACATCCGGCTCCTCCAGCCACCTCCTCCGCTGGTCCACCTCCCCTGTACCGTGTATCACGCCCCACCTGCTCGCACTGCTGTCACTAGCACCAGCAGCAGCAGCAGCAGTGGAAGCCGCAGAAGTACCACCACCAGCAGCGGCAGCACCACCAATACAAGGGCTGCTTGCACCATCTGCCTTCCTTGCACTCCCTCTCGCAGCTCTCTTCCCCACGTGCAAATCTCCCGCCCTCCCTGCTCCTTCTCCTCCCCCATCACTCCTCGCACTTGCCACACTCCCTGCTCTCCCTCCCATCCCTAACCCCCCCCCAATCCCTAAAACCCCTCCCACCCCCAAACCGCCTCCCCAAGGCACATCTTTCCCCAGCCCACCAATCAGGGCGATCTGCTTGCGCCTCTCCAGCCTCTCTATAAACTGCTGCCGCTGCCTTCTCGCTCTCTCCGCCAGCTCATTCCCCCTCTCCCTCACTCTCTCCCTCTCCCTCTCCTCCTCACTCACTTCCACTCTTCCTCCTCCCCCTGCCCCTACACCACCCTCCCCAACACCACCAGCACCAGCAGATTCCGTTGCCGCTGCTGCACCAGATACTGCTGATCCAGAGTGGTTTGATTCAAGCTTGCTTTCGAGTGGTGCAGAGTGGTTGGAGTTGAACGCTGCTGCCACTGCTGCTGTTGTGGACGCTGCTTCCACCCCTGCTGCTATTTCACTCTCCCAGCTCATTTTCTCGCTCACAGCCCTCCTGTACTCCTTATTAGCGCCCTCACTAGCAGCACTGGTCACACTTGATGATCGCAGAGCGCCAGTTTGCAACCCAGTTTGAAACCCAGTTTGAAACCCAGTTTGCAACCCACTTTGCAGCCCACTTTGCAGCCCACTTTGCAGCCCTTGTGGCAATCCAGTGGGGGGGAGGATACCAGGAGGAAGGGGAGAGTGGGAAGAAGAAGGAAGGGGAGGGAGGGCGGTGGGAGGGAGCGGAGAGTGGGCAGGAGTATGGAGGGGAGAGAGAGGAGAAGGGGAAGGAGAACGTGTAGGGTCTTTAGCAGCTGTAGGGACTTTAGGAGCTGTAGCATGATCATTATCATTATCAGCAGCAGCAGCAGCAGCAGCAGCAGCAGCAGCAGCAGCAGAAGCGCTATCACCACTAGCATCTGCTGCAGCAGGAGCAGCGGTATTAACAGCATTAGTAGCAGCAGTAACAGCAGCAGCAGAAGCAGCAGCAGCAGCAGCAGCAGCAGCAGCATCATTACCACCAGCACCATTCACAGAAGCATCAGAAGCGGGGTTCAGAGGAAGCTTCCCTTCCTTCTGCATCTTCCTCCTCACAACACTCCTTATCTCCTCCAGAAGCTTCCGAGCCTCCTCAGTTTCCTTCTCACTTTCCTCCTCACTTTCCTCCTCTCTCCCCTCCTCATTCCCCTCACTCCCCTTCTCACTTTCCTTCTCACTCCCCTCCTCACTCCCCTCCTCACTCGCCTCTTCTCCCTCCTCACCCCTCAAATCACTCTTGCTAGTTGTTCCCACTCGAGCTCTAAAACACTTCAAACCATCTCCTCCCACAACCCCGTCCTTACTTCCTGTCACAATCTCTCCCTCCCCTTCGCCCCACTCTCGTTCCTCTTCCTTCCATTCCTCCCCACTTTCCTCTCCTTCGTCACTCACCCCTTCCTCCTCACTCTCCCCCTCCTCACTCTCCCCTTCCTCCTCACTCTCCCCTTCTTCCTCACTCTCCCCCTCCTCACTCTCCCCTTCCTCCTCACTCTCCCCTTCCTCACTCTCCCCCTCCTCACTCCCCCCCTCCTCTATTCCATCCTCCTCTTCCTCCACCTCTCCCTTTATCCCCACCTCCTCTTCCCCTTCTTTCTTCCCCTCCTGTTTCTCCCCCTCCACTCCCCGCTCATTTCTTCTCCTACTTGTGTGTAGCTCCTCTGCTCTCTCCAACCCCCCATCACACCCCCCATTATGAGCCGACTCCAAAGCAGTTGCTGCAGGTTCTGCGCTCTCCAACCCCTTCTGTTGCTCCTCAATTCCTCTTTTACCATCCTCCTCCTCTTCCTCTTCCTCCTCCTCACCCACATTGCCACTACCCTCCTCATGCGCCCCCTCGCTATTGTCACCCCCGTTACAGACCTCTACTCTAGGAGACAAGGAGCAAGACATTTCGCCCTTGTTCTCCCCTTCGATAGAGTCACAAGTGGAGCCCTCACGCTTGGATGGACCCAGTTCGATATAATCACACCCTATAGAGTCCTTACGCTTGGTGGAAGGGCCTTTCTCGATATAGTCACACTCAGAGCCCAGATCAGAGATACTCACATAGTCACACTCCCCAGAGTCCCCCCGCTTGGAGGAAGACCCCAGATCCGAAATGCTCATATAGTTACACTCCCCAGAAACCCCGCGCTCAGAACGACCCATCTCACTAGTGCCCGTATAGTCACACTCCACAGCCTCACACCCTGAACCCCTTCTCCTAGACAGCGCTCGGGTCATGCTTCGACATGTCTCCCTGCTCCGGCTGCTCCTGCTGCTACTGAGTCCCTGATTTTGGATCCCCCCACTACCTAGTCTGGTCTCTACACTCGTATCAACACTTGTATTCACACTCGTAGCAACACCCCCACCTGAGCGTTCGTCTATGCCCCCTTTGCCCCCATTCACCTGCACCCCGCCCTCCCCTGCTTCTGCTGCTGCACTCTCACTCTGTTGCCCCCCCTGCCCCCTGTCCCCTTCACTATAGTCACCCTCCGGAAGTTCCTTACTGCCCCCCCTGCTCCCCCAACTCCCCCTTCTCCCCCACTCCATCCTGCTCCCTTCACTATACTCACCCTCTTGCAGCGCCATGCTGCCCCCCCTGCTCCCCCTGCTTCCCCGCTCCCCCCTGTGCCCTTCACTATAGTCACCCTCCGGCACGGAAGACACCTGGGCCATGCTCTCCTGGCTCTTCCTGCAGTGGGCCCGCCGCATATAAGCACGCGAGGGCACGTGGAAATGGATCCTGGGGGAAGGGGAAACCCCACCTCCTGCTGCTGGTGGTGGTGGTGCTGCTGCTGCTGCTGCTGGTGCTGCTGGTTCTGCTGCCTGTACCACCTCTGCTACATACCCTGCTGCTTCAGCTGCTGCTACTGTGGCGGCTACGGTAGTGGCACTCATAAAGCCGCCCTCTGCAACCCCAGCCACGGGCCTCCCACTTTGTGCGTTAATGGGGACGTCTATAGGGAAGACAAAGTCCCTGGTTCTCCCCCTCACGTGCATTCCCCTCACCCTCGCTCCCCCCTCCTTTCCCCCAGCAGCAGCAGCAGGAGCAGCATCAGCAGAAGAAGCAGGATTCAAGGAAACAGCGGCAGGAGTCAGGGCGGCAGCAGCCGTCGGAATATTGTTGACTCCCCCTAGTCTCTTTCTTACATCGTTTAAAGGAGGGGCCACAAGGACAGGAGGAGCTCTCTCCTCCTCCCCCTCACTAATCTCCCCCTCCTCCTCTTCCTCCTCTTCCTTTGCCTCCTCCTCTTCCTCCTCATCCCTCCACCCTCGACTCTCCAGCCTTCCCCCAGGCGTCTTAGAACAACGAGAATGTATCCTACTGGAGCCATGTGACTGTAACGGTTTAAGACCATGCGCCCGTGACTCTACCTTGATAGAAGAATGTGACTCTATCGAGTCTCCCAACGCCCTGGCATGGCTTTTCCCAAGAATCGCATCCATCCGAGTCTTGGCCGAATCTCCCCATACAGTCACGTGGGCGGGGTGGGTTGGGGTGGGCGGCAGCATGAGACGCCGTAGGCTAGCCGCTAGGCCGCCCCCCTCCTTCTTCCTGCTGCTGTCCTTTTTTCCATCCTTCATGCTACCACTTGTCTGACCGCTTGTGTTACCACTTGTGTTACCCCTTGTGTTACCACTTGTGCCAGTGGCCGTGCTGCTGCGGTTGCTGTAGCTGCTGCTCTTGCCAAACCCACTGCAGCCACTGGCGCTGGAATTGCCGGCAGCTGCATCCTTGCTCTTGCTGCTGTGGCTGCTGCTGCTGTAGCTGCTGCTCTTGTTGAAACCCCCACTGTTGCCAGCAGCGGTGGTATTGCTGGCGACTGCTTCTGTGCCTTTACTGCTATAGCTGCTGCTGCTATGGGTGCTGTAGCTGCTGCTCTTGCCCATGGCATTATGCCCGCTGGTGGCGCTACTGCTGATGGCTGTAGTTGTGGCTGTGTTGCTGCTGCCCCTGCCACGGCTGCTGTAGCAGCTGCTCTTGCCAATACCTCTGGAGCCGGTGGAGGTGCTGCTGGTGGCGGTTGTAGCTGTTGTGGTTGTGCTACTACTACTACTGCTACTGCTGCTGCTGCTGCTGCTGCTGCTGCTGCTGCTACTATTCCTACTGCTGCTGCTATTTTGATAGTCACCCTGGCCATCGCCGTTGTTGTGGATGTTCTTCTGGCAGCTGCTGTTTCCGTGGCTATACCGTTCAAACACTGGGGCCCATAGCTGCTCTAATACCTCTGGCGTTGGCAAAGCTGCACTCTTGCTGCTACTCCTGCTTCCATTTTCACTACCATATGATTTTCCTAACATTTCATCACTGTACATTTCTGTGCACTGTACACCGCTCGTAATACTGACACTATCGAGATTCTTCTCATTCGCGTTCGGAGAAGCCGAGGCTCGAAGGTTCGGCAATTCGGCATGCACGAAAGGCGCGGGAGGGGGCAGTTCGTCATGCATGATTTGCCACGATTGGTGCGCGACAGTCAATTCCTCGATCGCGCGTTCGCGACCCCACACCTGTTCGTTGATCGCCAAACATCGCCGGTGGTAACCACTGGTTAAGCCGCAGCACGTTTTCATCCACAATTTAATCCGCTCCAGTTCCCCAGGCATCTCCCATGCGAGGTCTGCCACGTCATTCACAATGTGCGACCGCGGGTCCGTCAGCGATATCGCCACGATCGTCCACGACATCACGCGACGCGGCGGCCCAAGCTCGTGCGACGTCGCCGACGTCGCAGGGGTCGCAAACCCGTCGTTAGAATCCGCTAATACGGCAAGCGCGCCGAGAGGCTTTACCGCGTACAGCTGGCCTGTTTCCCCCAGCTGCGCGCCGATTTCGATTACATCCACCGGAGTCCCGCTCAGCGGAATTTCCGCTCCCCAACTCTCCCTTCCGCTTCCGCCTCCCCCGCCGCCACTGTAGCCTGGCGACTCGGGATCCAGCCACGTCTGCGGCGCAATTCCCAGGTTCCATGGAGCCTCCGCCGCAAATCGGGCCGGCGCAAACTTACCACCTCCGTTTACGTCGCCTGCGCTTCCGCCGCCTGCGCTTCCGTCGCCTCCGCCTCCGCCGTCTCCGCCGGCGGCGCAAGCCATGGGGCGAAGCGGGTCGAAATCCTCATCCGCGGAAACCTCGACGCGCGCGGCGGAGCCCCGCGGAGTGAGGCAGAGGACGTGGTAAAAGCCGTGCTTGGAGTGCAGGGGGAAGTCGTGCCAGGGGGAAAACGGGCGCGCGGAAGGATCGAAGAAGAGCCATCGATAGGCGGGAGAAGCGACGGTCCCAAACTCGACTGCGGACCATCCGTCGGCGAGGAAATGACGATTCATGGCTCCTGCCTGATGAGAATCGGCCCCTAGAATTCTCAAGAACGACTCATGGCTGTGCGGGCTGGAGTCGCGTCTGAGTCGAGTCGCGTCTGAGTCGAGTCGAGGCTAGACGCGAACGGAGGCTACTTTAGGGCAGGGCTGTAGTCGCGTCTGTAGGGTCCCTGATGTCGGTTGCTACTCAGGTGGGTGCTGCAGCCGCTAGGTCGCTATTGCTGCTGTCCTGTACCGTCACTGAACCTGGTGAATGCAGAAACTGCTGCAAGGAGGCGCCAGGGGTTGAGCGCAACCGACGAACTCTGGCTTGGCTCGGCTGTTGGCGGGAGTCAGATTATCAGGCACTGTACAGTACCACCCTCTTCTCCTCTTTCCCCATGCCAGCCCAGATTAGCTCGTTCCGGCCTGCAAACGATGGGGCGTGCGTGAGTGATGGTGTGTGTGTGGTGTGTGTACCTTTTCCGGGTTTTGAGCAAGTTTCGTGTGGGTGTTGCGGGTTGGAGTGGGTTAAAGAGGTGTGTATGGAAGGGAAAGGCACTGACAGAGTGTACAGTACATTTCGCTGGGCTCTGTTGCGTGCGCCACAGCGCATGGCGAGGCGACTCGTCATTTGTCGCAAATCGTGTCTCGTCATCTTGCGCATAGCCTTCGTGATTTCGCTACGAGGCGTGTTGCGCCGTCGTCAACATTCGCGAAATTGCTGCGATGCACTTCATCCACAGTCCATGGTCATCCGATCACCCATGCACCCATGTTCACGGACGGACGGAAAGGAAGAACGACTCTTTGTCGCCAAGCAAGGGCACCTGATTTTTCCTGGTCCTTGTTTGCCTGACGGTCTTGTAGAGAGGGTACACGTCAGACGTTGACGTCAAACTCGACGCACTCCCACCCAGGCTGCCCCAAAGGAAATGAAGGCGAAATATTTTGTGAAGATGCCAACAACCTCGCCCAACAAACGTGCCATGTGTTTCGCAAATTGTGTTCCTTCCCTTTCAAAGTGCCCGCGATATTGTTTGAAAATGTTGGCGTGGCATCTCTCGACAACATGATTTTTGGGGCCCTGCTTCGGTTCGGACATGCCGGAAACCAGCATGTTATGAATTATAACTCAGATTATAGCGCAGAATACTCTATGGGAACGTGATTACAAAGTGACGATAGAAATTAGGCCTAGGGCTTATATAGTGTGAGTTGACCAGGTTGAATGTCGAGGTTTGGACCAGTCAAGGGCTCGTTAGTCCCGAGGGTGACGAGTTCAAAATGGGTTCGGGGCGAGTCGGGATCAGGTTGGGGCCGAAAAGGTCGACTGGGGCTGGTTCGCGTGTACTCGCTGTGGCGAGCCCCAGTAAGGAATCGTAATTCCTCACACAGCACCAGTCCTGTTACAACCTGGTAACCCGTTTTGTCTCCGTGTCGTCTCAGCAGATACTCACTGAGGTCCCAACAGTGCAAAAGCTTCGTTAGAGAACAGCCGAGTCGGCCAGAAGCCGTCGAGCTTTCCCACTGTTGCGTAATGATGGCGAAAACTGTGATAGAGAATGAACAAAATATAATTGATGGACAAGTGAACTTGACATACCGTAGGTGCCACATCTTAGTCCAATTGGAAGCCCAGGCACTAGCATACTGTCCGACAGTCCTAATCTATATGGACGACTTCGAATAATTTCAACCTAAAAGACAAACAATCGCATGTTCAACCCTCACAAAAAAGGACCAACCACATCTACGAGCTTGGTCGTTGAGCTGCAAAATCAAATGACCCGGCTCCAACAGCGAAGGAATGCCTACGAGCATGCCCAGTCCTGGGCCGCCCCATCCCACCCTGCTGCTGCTGCTGGTGCTGCTGCTGCTGATGCACACTCATCCCACCACCACTCCCTTCCCCTACACCACCCATGCCAGAAACCATCCCTCCAGTAAATGACCCTCCCCCAGACCCACCTGCCATTCCACCTGACACTCCACCTGAGGGTACAGGCACAGGAGCCAGACCCGTCCCCTGTTGTGGCCTCCACTTGGAAGGGGACACCTGGGACGGGCTGCTTCTGCCGCCCACCTGCTGCTGCTGCTGCTGCTGGTGCTGGTGCTGCTGCCCTTGCTGCTGCCCCTGCTGCTGCCCATGGTGCTGCCCCTGGAATGCAGAAAGAGGAACACCTGAGGAACCTTCCCTGGCATTTTCCTTTATGCTTCCAAACAGCTGCGGCGACATCGGCCTCGGCATGTCTGCCACTCCGCTCTGAGTCTCGCCGGCCCCTATGCTGCTGCTCCTCCTCCACGCTGCCCGCCTGCCGGCCGCTATCTCCGCTCTGTTTAAACCACCTGAAGCTACGCCACCACCTGAGGCAACTCCACCACCTGAGGCCACACCAACTGGGCCTACCCCACCACCACCTGAACCGCCACCTGAACCAGCACCTGCTGCCAGCCCACCTGAACTGCTGCTATCCTTGAGCCGAGAGCCTGTGGCCTTCATAGGGGAAACGTGACCAGGGGGAGTGGGACGGGGCCCTCCCCTTGCTAGCTGAGGGGAAGAGGGCCTTGCCATACGCACCTGCACCCCTGCTGCTGCTGCTGCTGCTGATGGTGGTGGTGCTGCTGCTATTGGGGCAGTTGCCAGTAGCAACCCCCCTCCTTGGGTTTCCCCTGTATTGCATTCCTCAACCTGCCACTGATCAAAAGAGCTCTCCTGTCCACCCTCTCCTCTCTCCCCCCTCCCAAGAGCGCGATCAGGTGGGTAGTGCACACGGCTGCTACTACTACTACTGCTATTGCTGCTGCCCTGCTGCCCCACCCCAACAGCCTCCCCAGCACTCCTTTGCCTGGGTATTCCTGGACCATGCCCATGCCCATGCGTGGGCGCATGTGCATGTGCATGCCCTTGCGTACCCCCAGGCCCGCCGGTCGTGCTGCCACCAGCAGCAGCGCCCCCTGCCTCCCCAGCGCTCACCTGTCGTGGTATCCCAGGGGGCCCTCCCAACCGTGACCCATACCCTCCTCCTCCCCCCCCCCACCTCCCCCTACCCCTGCTCCCCCCGCTCCACCGCTCTCCACCCAGCCCCTACTCCCCGACTCCTTAAGTGACCCGTTTCCCAGCATGCGCGTCTGCCTAATGTCCCTTCCAAGCCTTGAATCGCCCACACTCGCATGCCCCGATGAACCCCCAGCCTCGGCTGCAAACCCAGCAGCAGCAACAGGGGGGCCTTCGAGCACCTGGGCTACGGGGAGAGAGGAGGGAGAGGGGACTCTCGGCCCACCCACACCAGTGCCCAACCCTCCCCCTGTTACCATACCTCCTGGTACGGCCATGCCTCGCTCCGAACCTGACTTGAGGAACCTCCTCTGGCCTGCCATGCTGGCGTCATCATCACCCCCCCCACCACCACTGATACCACGGCTGCCACTGCTGCTACTGAAGCCGCCACTACGGGAAGCATTGGGGCTGGGCATACTGGAATCGCCTCCTGACCCTGCTGCAGCAGCAGCACCCACCCGCTCCGACCCCGATTTCACCAGCCTACGTGGCAGACTCTGATTGGGGACAGCTGCGGAGGGCTCTGACTGGCAGCTGCTGTCTTTTTGCTGCTGCTGCTGCTGGGAAGCGCGGGTGAGGGGGCTGCTGGGACGGGGAGGGGTGCTGCTGAAACTAGACGCCAGAGGTCCGCGGCCCAGCGGACTCAGCAGCGACTGGTGGTGGGCGTGGGGCTTTAATGGGCTGGCAGGGGGGTACTTGGCCAAGGGGGAGGCTAGAGGGATGTCTCCGTCCCCATCCGCGTCCTCCTCCTCCCCATCATTCTCCCCATCGTTCTGGCTGGACAAAACCTCGCAGTTTAGCCTCCTGGCTGGCTGTCCAACGCTTCCTGAGGCTGCTGCTGCTCCTGCTCCTACTACAAGCCCGTTAGGAGCACCTGTTTCTGGCGCTCCTGCTGCTGCGTCCCCGCCCTGCTGCTGCTTGGGCTGGGCGGACAGGAGAGGCGACGCCATAACCACACAGTCGTCCTCATCCTCCTTATCGTCGTCCTCGTCAAGAGAAACATTCAGCGGCATCCGCCCAGAAACGGCCGCCCCTGGCGCGGCCTTACACTCCACAATATCCCCATCGTCGTCCTCGTCATCGTCACTGCTGTCCAGATCCGCAGTGTATTCCTCATCCTCCTTAGTAGCACCTCCTTTAGACGCGCCGTCCAATCCTGGATCACCAATCGCCCCTCCAAGCTTAGGAAACGTGAACGTCGATTCTTGATCCCCACAAGCACCTCTCTGCTCCCTGCTCCCACTCTCCCCGCCCCCCTTGCTCCCTATCTCAAACAATAGAACATCTGATCCCTCCCTTCCGTTTTCACCAACCCCTCCGCTTCCGCCACCTCCACCACCTCCCCCTCCCCCTCCCCCTCCTCCGCCTCCTCCGCCCCCCCCACCACCGCCTGTAGCAGCACCAGAGGGGGGCATTCCCGCTCGCTTGACAACAGCAGGCGGGTCTCTTCCCCCTCCCCCACTCCTCCGCCTCACCAGCGGGCCATCCGTGCCCCCATCCTCCTCCCTCCCCCTTCCCCCGTCCACAGACGCGCTCCTGAAGAATCCCCCCCGCCCCATCCCCCTCCCCGGACCCGCCCGCCCCCCACCAACACCCCCCCCGCCCAAAGGTCCCGGCCGACCCACCCGCCCCATTCCCCCCTTGGCCAATCCCGGCACTAGCCCCGCCCCTCTGATTCCCCCTGCGCCTAGCACGGGGGCGCCTCCCCCCTGCGCCCCCGCTAAGCCAGCATGTGGGGGAGACCCTCCAGTGCTACCACCAGCGATAGTATTACTGCTGCTAAACCCACTGGCATTGCTGCCACTGGTAATGCCGCCGCCGCCGCTGCTGTTGCTGCTACTGCTGAAATCCATATGCGGGGCGAAGCTGACGCTCTGCGCTCTCGCGTGTCTGGTAACCCTACGCCCCCCGCCGGGGCTCCCTCCGCCCGCACTGCTGCTGCCGGAAAACGCTGCGAACTGCGACGAAGGAGGCTGCATGCGAGGGCTTAGAGAGGGGGGCTTGCCGCTACTGCTGCTACCCCCACCACCAGCACCACCAGCGCTACCACCACCGCCACTACCGCCACTGCCGCTGCCAGGACTACCCGTTCCCGAGGCATACCCATGAGGCGGGCTGTCCATACCCCCCATCCCAAAATCCGACGCGCCCGGGGCGAAGAACGACACTGACGAGGCTCGCCGGTGTGCGGTTACCCTATCCCTGGGTGTTACGCCTGCCGGACCTCGACTTGAGCTCGAAGCGAGAAGCTTCCTCCTTAGATCGTCCCCCGGACCGGATTTCCCCGCCACAGGGTGGGCCGAACCTGACTCAGATCCCACCTGGCCGGATCCAACCTGTCCAGGCCCCACCGCCCCACCCCCTCCTGCTCTCCCCGCCCCCGTTCCCGCACCTCCTCCTCCCCCCTCTTCCGCCCCCCCTGCGCCTTCCCGCTTGGAGAACGGCACACATGCGCCAGTGGCGGAAGGGTCGTCCAGCGCCCCGCCCGCGGTGCTCTCCACGAGCTTCCGCAGATCCCTCTCGTGCACGGCGGAGGGGGGGCGGTTGGGCGGGGAGGCGGAGGAGGCGGAAGCGGAGTGGGTGCTGTGGTGCGCGCTGTGGTAGGTTTGCCAGGCGGCATGGGCTTTGGAGAGAAGAGAGAGCGTTCGCTCCGTGGGGACGGGCTTTTCGCGGTAGCCGATGGTGTTAGGCACGTCGACTAAGGGGAGGGTGAACAGAGAGATACATGGGAATGGGAGGGGAAGGGGGAGGGGGGGAGGGAGGGGTGGGAAGGAGGGGGGAGAGGGAGTGAGAGGAGAGAGCGTTTTCGGTCCGTGGGGACGGGCTTTTCGCGGTAGCCGATAAAATTGGGCACATCGACTGAAGGGAGGGAGAACAAAACAGAGAGATACATGGGAATGGGAGGGGAAGGGGGGGGGTGGGGGGGGGGAAGAGGGAGGGGTGGGAAGGAGGGGGCAGAGGGAATGAGAGGAGAGAGCGTTCGGTCCGCGGGGACGGACATTTCGCGGTAGCCGATGGTGTTGGGCACGTCGACTGAAGGGAGGGAGAACAGAGAGATACATGGGAATGGGGGGGAGGGGGGGCGAGGGTTGGGAAGGAGGGGGAAGAGGGAATGAGAGGAGAGAGAGCGTGGGGGTGGAGAATTCTCGGCAGAAGGAGGGAGGGGGGGGGGGGGGGGGGGGGGGGGGGGTGTTCGGGAGGGGGGAGTAGGGAGAAGGCTTGAGAGATATTAGAACTCTGAAAATCGTTTTGAATTTTTTACGTCTGTATGAGCTTAATCAATGTCACTAATTACTGTCTCGTTCTTGAAACATAGAGAACTGCTGTCAAAAGTGCTGCATCTCATTTCCTTCTCTTGTTGGTTAAATTTTCTTCCGCAGAAGTGTGGTGTGGATGTTTAACCAAAGAGAAAAAAAACCATATTTCGGGCTTACATCAGCTCATTTTAATCAAGCGACAAGGACGAGGATGCAAAAAAAAAGGGGAGAAAAAAACATACATCTTGAGACGCAGGCTGACGTTTTGAGCCACTCGCTGATCTCCCCGAGCTTCCCTCCCCCGTGCTGCTGCAGGTCGTCCAGACACGATAACTTATCAGCGACCGGGTCCGCGGAGTTAACGCCGACTATCTTCAACGTCGTCTTTAGATTAGGGCTTATCACCAGAAACGCCGTGATCGGCTTCACCCGATACGCGTATCCCACGCCAGCAGGCGCGCTTCCTAAATCGATTATTTCCACCGGGCCGTGCTGCTGCGACGGGTCCGGACCGCTTCCGTTATTGTCATCGTCCTCGCTAAAGCACGAGCAAGTTTGCGGTACAATGCCGATGTTCCACCGTAAATTTTCCGGGTAGTGTGCCGGTTCCCCGTTAGCCTCGCGAAGTCGCAACGGCTGGTAGAGCTCGGAAACCGCCACCTCCAGCTGTAACCACGAGCCTTTCGGCGTGGTACAGACCATTTCGATACAGTCACCGACGGATAAAGCGGCGGGAACAGTGCCATCGCGAGAATCGAAGCGAAGAGGTAAGTCGTGCCAGGGCGAAACTGGGTGGACTAGACTGGCGTTACCTGCTGACGTGGCGCTCGCAGGGCTCGCTAAGAGAAACTTGCGGTACACTAACGACCCTTCAGGTCCGAAGTCCATGTCGATGCCTGTTTGCCGGTCAGCGGAGAGATGATGGAACAGCAGAAAACGACATTAACAGCTAATAGTAGCAGCACTCGACCTAAGTTCTATGGAGGTACTGTAATGATTAGGAGTGGTGGTTTGGAGGATTAGAACAGCTGATTATCTCTCTCGCTTCTGGGGGTATGATTTCTAGGGAGAACCGACATTTCTGAAAAGCACCGCCTAGTTTCACTGCACCGAGTCAACGAACTGAAAATGCGTACGGTATTACCGAGGATGTTAAATACGGTTCAGAACGGCTCGTTTAAAATATAAAACGTTGGAGTAGGGTTTTGAGAGTCGAACACTTGTTACACCCATGAAGCAGCAGCAGTATTCACAAAAAACCTTGAGATTGCCGCGTCCCGAACCTAAACTGTTGTGGGGAAACTCGAGGGCTCTCTCGTCTGGAGCTGCTGGTGCTGCTGACGTAGGGGGAGGTTTAGGCAAGGGAGTAAGGGGAGGGAGGCTCGTCTATACAGAACTGTACCGTACTTACTGGGGACAAAGCCCTGAGGCTGACTTCTCTGGTACGGTCCTTTGACTCTTCTGCAGGCGCGGAACACGTTTGTGGATGAGGTGAGGTCTGGTCCGGAGCTGGAGCTCCGTTGGTCGGCGTCAAGGAGAGGCTCTCGAATGATCTGGACCGTCATTGAAGGTAGCATTGCCGCTGGCCGTTGAAGTTGGTTCAAACCTACTGGTTACTGACAAATGAGACAATTTGCCAGCTCACGCCAGTCTGGCGGTGCTTGTCACTCGATGTATTCCTTACGCGCGTGCTCGATAGGAGAACAAGATATGCCTCAGTGCACTTGCGGCCAAGCCTGTGCTCTGCTCTAAATCCACTCAACATTACACAATAAAACACATAACCAAAAGCTATGATATATGTGATTCCTACTACACAAAACACCAGCTAGGAACTGCAATTTCTCAAGAATCGCTCAATCCGTCTTTTCGACCTCACTACCCATTCACAAAATATATAGTCACTTCCCCATAGGCAATCTGCTCAATTATTCTGCAGTTTCTTCTGTCCCAGCACCCACTGTTGCTGGTGCTGCTGCTGGTGTACCAGCACTTGCCATACTTCTGCTGGTCACCATGATTCTTCTGGTGAGCCTGCGCTCCCTTGACTGTCACACTCTTATCAAGCCTTCAGTTGTGTCTCTCATGTACCGTTGCAGGCAGCAATGGCTCCCATGGGTTGCGTTGTGCCCCTAGCCTGGACGCCAAAGCGGGCTGTAGGCTGCAGATGCATAGACAGGGATAAACAGAAAGAGATGTATGGAAAGGAGAGGTGGGTAGGGAAGGAGAATGGTCAGCAGGAGGATGCAAGGTAAGTGGCAGTTTTGGGTGGCAAGAGAGAGCGAGGTGATGAGAAACAGTGCTTCACACAGAACAGAACAGAACAGAACAGACAAATGATGAGCATTCGCAGGTGAACCCACCGTTGGCCAGCATATCAGCTGATGATGTCACTGCTGACGTCACTGTAGATGCTGCTTATTCTGCGCCTGCTGCTGCTATCCCTGTTGTTAGGGTTTCCGCGACTCTGTTATCCCACCCTGCCACTGCTGGTAACCACCACTATACACGCTCTGGTTACTACTATGATAAGCCGACGGCTAACCATAAACCAGCCCAGTGAATCGCATTTGTCCTCAGACGTTCTCGGGCCTTCTCATGCCATCATCCCTTTGTGCACACGCATGCGCATCGTAGCAGCGCCACCCCTCAACCCCCCCCCACCCACGGAATGAACTACTGTACCTCCACGCTTATCAGCATACAAATTGATTGTATCTCCGTGTACTGTAGACGGGTTTACTGTAGTTCCCCACGGGGAGTACAGCGGCACACCAGCAGCGGCGACAGCGTGCGACTGACGCGAATTGGACGCGACTGTCGCAAAAATCCTTGTCCCTCCTCCTGGTGCGCCTGCCCCTGCAGCTGCTGACGTGGACAGACGAGCCTCCCTGGCTTCTGCTAGAGTAGACGCCACCCGTGCTGTTGATATAGATGCTGGTATGGCTGCTGGAGCAGCAGGAGCCCCGCCTCGTGCGCCGAGCCCTGCGCCTGCTACGCCGCGCGCCTGTTCCTGCGCCCTGCCGGTCCCTTCCCCGTGCGGGAAAGCCGGCGGAAAAGATGGGGACATGGGCGGGGACGCGGATGCATGGATCCTCCGCTGCAGCTGAAAAGACGGGGGCGAGTTGAGCAACGCGAACGAGTGCGACCGCCGGTCCTCCTCCTCTGCGAACGAGTGGAGAGTTCCATTGGGCGGTGATGCGGATGCGGTTGCTTGGATCCTCCCCTGCAGCTGGAAAGGGTTTCCCTCCGGTGCTCCATTGGGCGGCGGGGATGCGGACGTGTGGATCCTCCGCTGCAGCTGAAACGAGTTGAGCGACGCGAACGAGCGCGACCGCCGGCGGAACGGTGCGGGCGACCGTGGCACGTCGCCTGCGCCTTGCAGCGACGTAATTGGTGGAGGCGTTGTCCCCTGCGACGCGGACGACTGTCGCCTGTGTCGCGCGAGGGAGTGCGCGGGGGAAGAGGCGGGCGACGTTCCGGGGGAAAGGAGGCCCGCGGAGAAGTCGGAGGAGAAGGCGGGCGAAGACGCGCCGGGGGAATCCAAGAACAGCGCGGAGTTGCCGCTCGGAGAAGACTGCGCGGACGCGGCGGAAACGGCGGAAACGGCGGATAAAGGGGAAAGCGGGGCGAATAGGCCGTCAGGGAACGGCTCGTAGGCGATTTCCGTTACCATGGACGTGACTGTAACGCGGGACGGCTCACTGACGCGATGGGCTGCGTACAGGTCGGTACTACCACAGGTAGGCAATGGCTTTGGCGGAAACGCGGCTTTAGTCGGTTCTACCGCCGCCTCCGGGGAGGGGAAGCTACCACTCAGGGGTAAGCTCTGCGGCAGGGGGAAGTTGCGGAAGGCTCCTGCGCTTCCCCAGCCCGGGGGAAAGTTGCGCGTCCCCGCGGTGCCTACTTTTACCCGCGGCGTTAAAAAGGACTGGTCCTTGATCCGCCGGGAAAACAGCGTCTCTGTTGCTGCCGCAACTGACGGCGCAACAGACGGTGTAACTGACGGCGCGAGTGGCGGAGCCTCTACCTCCGTCTCCGCGTTTGTGCCCGCGTCTCTCGCCGCTGCCGGCGCCAGCGGCTTCGTTTCAGCTCCTGAAACCGACATTAAAGGCAGCGACTCGACGGCCTCGTCACGACGACGAAGCTGACAGTCAGCGTCAGCTTCTTCGGTTTCTTCTTCTGCTGCTCCTGCTGCTCCTGCCGCTTCTGCCGCTCCTGCTGCTTCGACAGCTGCTTCAGCTGCGCCTTCTGCGGCGATCGACTGCTGCAACGCCATCCATTTCTGGCACCGGCACCTCTCCTCTTGCTGCTGCTGCTGCTGCTGCTGCCCTGTCGCTGAATCCTCTTCCGCTTCGCCGATCTCGCGGGTCGCTGAATTTTCTTCGCGAATCTCGCCCGCCGGTTCGTTGCTCCCAGTTTCAGCCGCGAATCCCCCGGTTTCTGGCGCTCCCCCTGCGCCAGTCGCTCCCCCTGCGCCAGGCGCTTCCCCTGCGCCAGGCGCCAGCGGGGGAGGGTCGAAGGAGAAGGACGAGCGGCGAGGCGTGGAGGCCGGCGAATGGTGCGACGACAGCTCGTCGGATGATTCGCACGCTCGCTGTGCGACGTCGCTCAGGGTCGCATCGTCCAGCGAGAACGAGATGCGATGCGCGAAACCCGTCGGTGGCGAAACCTCGTCGTTACTAAGGGAAGCTCCTGCGTCAGAGCCTCCAGAAGCCGCCGTTTCCGGTTGTCCCGAGTCACGACGCGGCGCTGCCAATGCTTCCTGCGAATCGCATCCCGCTTCCCGCGAGCCGCATCCCCTCTGATCCTTCCGCTCGTTAGAGTGCTTCTCGGCCTTGGAGGAATCACCCACGCTTGGCTCGGAGGGCGAGTGGGAGATTGTAGGGATGACGCGGCCCGTCTTCCGGGTCTTGGAGCCAGAAAAGCCACTCAGGATGAGCATTCTGGGGCTTAGCTGGAGAGGGCGAGAGCCGGAAAGCGACTCGCTTCGCGAGTTCTACGGACCAGAAGGAGCACGGCCTGGTAGTTCTGGCACGCGGTTGTCACTAAATCCTTCACGATTGTTCCTGAATGCTGAACCGCCTAGCGGGACCCGTGGCTGAGAACGACATCGGGGTATCTGAGGTAGAGGAAGGAGACTCCTAAGGCGGAAGGGAGACGAGCACGGATGGGATGTCTCGGCGGGGTGGGTAGTATATCGGAGAGTATGGGTCTAATCGTTGCAATATGCACCGACTTGTATGCTGTATGGCCATGAGAGGACGAGATACAGTACGAGATTGCGCTGTACGTGTACTTCTGTAGGCAGCAACTTACGTACTACAGTGCAAGATTGTGCTGTACGTGTACGAAAGTCGCAGATTGCTGGCTGTTGAACAGCGCGAGTTGCGCTGAGCCCGAGCTCATAAGCCATGGCCTTCATGTGAGCAGGAACCGACATTCCGCAATGGAGGAAAATCGCATGGCCACTTCGCAGAACCTGACGTGCTTCAAGCGATTGCGGACGAAACGAGCGACTCAGAGCGATTTCGCAGTTCTGATTATGCGCGTGGTCAAGGAAGGGAGGTCCTAAAATTCGCAGCAGCATACATCTGGTTGGGACCAGCTGGAGACACAAAACAGCATCCGCCACTGGCAACGAGGCTCATGTGACAGACAGGAAACAGTATGCTAGCTAAAAATGATCACTGTTGTTGGAGGCAAGGCAAGCACCTCCGCGGGAATGACGGAGAGGAGAAATTGATGGAAGGGGAAGGCAGACAGAGAGGAGGAGAACTGGCTGGCGGGCAAGGGGATGTCTGCGGTTGCGGTGGGGAAATAATCTGACTGGGGATAGAAACCTCCCTGAAGATATTATGTTTTAGAAACTTAATAGCACAACCGACTACAGAACCACTGTCACGCACCGCAACCGAAGTTGCCATTTTGAAGGTCCCAGTTCAATCACTACTTGTATGGAACCTGGGTCTCTTCGAGAAACGAGATCAGGACCATCTGGGTGTCCCCGAAACAAAAAGACACTTTCCATCAGGGGTAGTCTGAAGCTGGCTGGTTTGGCAAACCGTGTGAGATCCAATCAGCTGAAGGCTGCTGGGCAGATATGCAAACTGTAGGGCATGAGGGAGGAAGGAACGGACAGTTGGCTGTGGTGCTGATCAGCCTGCTGGCAGGCACTACTTTTGTTGCAACAACTGGCTTGGAAAGCGAGGCTGGGCAAGCTGGTCAGGCTGTCCCAAGAGATTGGGACAACGAACATAAGCTGGTTCGGCAGGCAACGTACCTAGGACCGAACGTACCGTTTCGGCATGTTCGCACCATAACTCACATTTCGAACCACAGAAATACGCGTTTGAAGGTAACGTTAGGCGTCGTCATGGCTAAAACCAGGCACCGCATAATCAGAAATGCCAACAGATTTATATCGTCCTAACAGAATTTGTGTAAAGCCAACTCGACAAGCCCAGCTCTCAGGTACTGCTACTACGGGCGGACAGTGCTGAATGATCAAGCATTGGGAGCTGAAGGAGCAGCAGGAGCAGCTGCGGCGCCGGTTGGCAATTGATCAGCCTTGGGCTTCATAGCAGGGAACAAGAGGACTTCCTGTGAAGCCATAAGGGGGAGAAAACACGAAATAAACAATTGGCCTTGAGAAATGGCACCAAATTTCCTTCTCTCATCCTTGCCCAACCCATCTCACACTATCTCTTTACCTGTCCCACCATTTCTTGGGGAAAAATTCCAGCACGTGATTTCATTATAATGTATTGGGGTGAGTCTATAGTGGACCGGTCCACATCCATGCCCCATCCAAAGGCAGACCATACTAACCATCCCCTATGCACACCCATGCCCTGTGCACCATGCCCCACCACTCGAGCGTATCTCACCTTGATGTTGATAGAGCCTGTCAGAATCATGCTCAGTCAGTCCATGCCCATGCCCCACCCTCCTGTGCATCATTCCCCTTCGACCTTGCCTTGATCTACAAGCAATCCCTTATGCCATGCAACCCCATCAGCGCACCTTGATGTTGATCGAGTCCGTCAGAATCATGGTCAGCCGGTCCACACCCATGCCCCACCCTCCTGTAGGCGGCAAGCCGTACTCAAGAGCAGTGCAGAAGTCATCGTCCTTCTGCTCGAGGGGGAGGAGGGGGGGGGGAAGGGGGTGTAGTCAAGAGTGGCAAAAGTAGAGAGGGTGAGGCTGTGTAAGTGGGATGCCCCACCCTCCTGTGGGCGGCAGACCGTTCTCAAGAGCAGTGCAGAAGTCATCGTCCTTCTGCTCCAGGAGGAGAGGCGGGGAGCGGGTTTGGGGGGGTGGGAAGGAGGTGTTGTTGAGAGTGGCAAAAGTTAAGAGCGTGAGGCTGTGTAAGTAGGGATGGGGACAGGTCACCACTCTCCTGCGGGCGGGAGACTGCACTCGAGAGAGCAGTACAAAAGGCATCACCCTTCTGCTCCGCTCCGGGGCGGGGGCAGGGGGGGCGGGGGGGGGAAGTACATATACACGAGGGAAGAATAAAAAGTGGGGGGTGTAGAGGGTAACTCGATGATGCGAGGTCGTGCAGGTGTCGTATCGTAAAAGTAGGCAGCATCATCCTCCTGTTTTCCCTCCCTTCCCCCCCCCCCATACCCCCCACCCCACCCCCCCTTGCCCCCATTCCCCCACCCCATTCCCTCACCCATCCCTCCACACCCCCCCCTTATCCCCCCTCTAGCCCTCCCCCACTCTTACCTTCATCGCCTCATCATCACCAGCCGCCCGATCCTTGCCCTGGTTGGCGAACAGCTGGCGCTGCCTGATTGGATCATTCAGTTCCGTGTAAGCGTTGCACACCTGGGAGAAAGGCGGGCGGAAGAGAGAAAGGGGGAGGAGTGCGAAGGATTGGGGGGGGGGCGGGGGGGGGGCGAGGATGACTGGATATTTTGAGCTCCGTGTGTAGGTGTTGCCCACCTGGGAGAAAGGAGGGAAGAGGGGGAAAAAGTGGAGGATTGCAAAGAGGAAAGGAGAGGGGGAGGGAGGAGAGAGGATGATTGGATAGTTGAGCTCCATGTAGGCATTGCACATCTGGGAGAGAAGGGGCAGAGGAAGAGGAAGAGTTGGGGGGGGGGGGGTGGGGTAGGGGGAGGGGGGGAGGAGCGTTTTAAGGGGGTTAGTGGGGAAATGCCTTACAGAGGTGGTAAGTCGTTGCACACACCACAGAGACAACCCAGAGCAGGTGACACACGCCACCATACAGCACACCGGACACCGTTCCCATCCCCCCCCTCCCCACCCCACTCCCCCCCTCCCCCTCTCCCCCCCACCAGCAAGCAGATCACCTCGCATCAGACAACACGCAACAAAACGCTATCCTCATGGCAGTCAGCAGCAGACAGCCAAACACATACAACGGCCCAAAAGGCAGCCCACCTCTTGGTAGTTGACCAAGAGCTCGAAACGCTATGAAAGGTTGACCCCTGCACGGTGCCACTGGGCGAGGGGGGGGGGGGGAGGGTACACACACACATGCCACACCATACAGCACCCCAACCAAACGCTCCCCACCACACACCTCACCTCGTGGCAGTTGACAAAGAGCTCAAAGCGCTCGGAGAGGTTGATGTCTGCGCGGTGTCACTTGGTAAGAGGCAAGGTACGCACACACATGCCATGCCACATACCACACCAACCAAGTGCTCCCCACCACACGCTCCCCACCAGACACCTCACCTCATGGCAGTTGACAAAGAGTTCAAAACGCTCGAAGAGGTTGACATCCGCATGGTGCCACTTGGTCAGAAACACACACACCCCCTCCCATCACACACACACACACACGCCGCACAGAGACACCCCAGGGTACACAGCCCACCTCATGGCAGTTGACGAAGAGCTCGAAGCGCTCGGAGAGGTTGACGTCCGCGCGATGCCACTTGGCGAGGGGCGACATGATCTGAGGATGGTCAATGATGAACGTCGGGCTGACGCACTTTGGCTCGATGAAATGGCCCACCAGCTGCAGGGGAGAAAGGGGGTGAGAGTCAATGGGAGAAAGGGGGCAGCAGCGGCCAAGATAAGGAGAATCAAGGATGAATGGCTGATCTGAGGATGGTCGATGATGAAGGTGGGGCTCATGCACTTGGGCTCGATGAAATGGCCTATCAGCTGCGGGGGGGAAAGGGGGTGAGAGTCACGGGAAGAAAGGGGGCAGCAGAGGCCAAGGTAAGGAGAATCAAGGATGAATGGCTGATTTGAGCATGATCGATGATGAAGGTGGGGCTGACGCACTTGGGCTCGATGAAATGGCCCACCAGCTGCAAGGGGGAACGGATAAGTTGAGGAGAGGGAGAGGGAAAGTCCCACAGCTGAAGAGTGAGGGCGAGTGAAGAGAGGAGAGCTAGGCGGATGGGCAAATGGGCGGTGATGAATGTACGGCTGAAGCACCTGGGGCCTGGTGCTTCTCACACATGGCCTCACGATACTGCTTGCTGCCTCTGTCTTCATATGACACTACGATTCCTTCATTTGTTGCTGCTCCATGTTCGAGCTACATTCACACACTAGCCTCAGAAGTGGCTCAAACCCCTCACCTTATCGAGCAAGCGAGTAGTGGTACGAGGAGAGGGGTGCTGCACCTGGTGCTTCTCGCACATGGCCTTCTGGTTTTGCCTCGCCTCTTCTGTCTCCAGATTGCAACTGGCTCTTGAGGCTCCTATGGGAATGTGTTACATTTTGTAGTTACCTTATCCAGCAACCGAGCGGTAGTGAGAGGAGGGGGGCACTGCACGTGGTGCTTCTCGCACATGGCCTCCAGGTACTGCCTCGCCTCCTCTGTCTCCAGGTTCGTTGGCAGGTCTGTGAGCCCCCCGATGTCCCTCAGGCCCTGGATCATGGGGATGCGCCTGAGAAGGAGAGGCAAGTGGGGAGCAGATATAGGGGGATCACAAGATTACAACGGCATGCATTAAGTGCTGCCTGTCAGACATGCCTGCCACGTGTGATTGTCAGTCAGCCCCCCAATGTCTCTCAGGCATTAAGTGCTGCGGGTGCAGGGGTGGGGGGTTGGAGGAAGTGAGTTTCACTTGTGTGTCAGACATGCCTGCCACGTGTGACTGTCAGTCAGCCCCCCAATGCCTCTCAGGCCCTGGTTCATGGGAATGCACCTGGAGACACAAAAGCGAGGGCGGAAAGAGGCATGGGGCAGGGGGAGAAGCATGGACCACCACACACTGATGAGCCGTCATGGGGAGGCATCAGGATTTTTGAGGCGCCTCAAAAATCATGGGGAGGCATCAGGACACTTTCACTGCAATCTCCTTCAGGCCGTAAATCGTGGGGAGGGGTTCGGGTTGAAGGGAGACGGAAGGAAGAAGTACAGCAGGGGTCTGCTGTGAGCCCTCCAAGGACAGACTTCAATTCAACAAGAACACCATTACACTTTGTTAAAAGTGTACTGAATAAACGGGCTGCTGATGATACAGACAAATTATATGAAAAAAAAGGACTGCAATATGGGCTGCTAGCGACAGGAGGCACGCTTGAATACAAAACACTGCTACATGGGCTACTATTCATACGGATGTACTTCAACTGGAAGAACCGTTACTGACTGATTTGATAGGGGCGTACTTGAATGGCGGGGTGAAGTCGATCTCCACAGGGTCCTTGTCGAGCCCGTTGCTGTGGTACTGGATCTTGTAGCTGCCTGTGATGTCCTTCACCATGCCTGGAAGGATCGAGAGAGAGCAGGTGGGCGGGGGCGTGGGGGAATGGGGAAAGGGGCATGAGTAAAGGGGGGGGAGTCGATCTCCACAGGGTCCTTGTCAAGCCCGTTGCTGTGGTTCTGGATCTTGTAGCTGCATGTGATCTCCTTCACCATGCCTGAGTGTGTGTGCATGTGTGTGTGGGAGAGTTAGAGAGGGGAACGTGGGGGAAAGTCAATGCCCACCCACGGGGTCCTTGTCGAGCCAGTTGCTGTGGTACAGAATCTCGTAGCTGCCTGTTCTCTCCTTCACCATGCCTGAAACATGGGAGAGGGGGCCGGGGGGGGGGGGGAGGAGAAGGAGTGAAGAGATAAGCAAAGGCTACAAAAGCAGCATGGCATGGCAATTGGCTTGGCACCCAGCGGTAGGAACCAGAAGCAGTGGACCACCCACCTGACAGCAGGAGCCCCAACCACCACCTGATAACACACCTGAAAGGAGCTCCTCCGTCAGAACCATGAGATCGTTGTAGTCCAGGTATGCTGCATAAAACTCGATAGTGGTGAACTCCGGATTGTGCGTCAAGTCAATCCCCTCGTTCCTGAACTGCTTGCCGATCTCGTACACGCGGTCCAGCCCGCCCACCACGAGCTCCTTGAGGAATAGTTCGGGCGCAATGCGCATGAAGAGCGTCATGTTGAGGTCGTTGTGCTCCGTCTTGAAGGGGCGGGCAGCTGCGCCTCCTGCCACCATGTGCATCATGGGGGTCTCCACCTGGGAAGGGGAGGACGGGGAAGAAGGCAGGGAGCAGAAAGCGCAGTTTGTTTGGCACCAGTTGGCCCAAGACAGTCAGTAAGACGGGGGCCAAGTCAAGCCCAGCCCGCCCACCACGAACCCCTTGAGTGCGGGCTCGGATGCGATGCGCATGAAGAGCGTCAGGTTGAGGTCGTTGTGCTCCATCTTGAACGGGCGGGCCGCTGCGCCTCCTGCCACCATGTGCATCATGGGGGTCTCCACCTGGGAGGGGGTGGGGGGAGGGGGTGGGACAGGATATCAGGGAGCAGGAAGAACAGGTTCAGAAAGCGCAGAGGACCTGCAGCACTGGTCTGGTCTGAACTGAACTGAACCACGTGGCGGACATCAGGGTTAGCCAGTAGGTCCAGGTATGGCGCTTCTGTTTGTTTCACGTCTCCCCTCCAGGTAATCCCTCTCACCAACCTTGACCAAGCCCCCGAATCCACTTGTGGCATTGCCCTCTAAACTCGAGGAAGACTCTTCCGTCGAAGAACTTGCGCAGGTATGGCACCACCTTGGCGAGGGTCTGGAACACGTGGCACAAGTCCGGTTCACCAGCAGGTCCAGGCAGGTACCGTGTTTGTTGGTCTCTCACACACAACCCTACTCACCTGAAGGGAAGTCCCCCCTCACCTCAAGGAAGTCCCTTCCGTCGAAGAACCTGCGCAGGTACGAGACGATGTTGGCTCTGGTCTGGGACATGTGGCGGATGTCCGGATGCACCAGCAGGTCGCCAGGTACCACGGCGCTCTCCTGGTCCAAAAGGCCTTCCTCACCCCACAGGTGTCCTGTCCTTTGCACTGACAGAAAGCTCCTTCTTACCTCCAGGAAGTCTCGCCCATCGAAGAACCTGCGCAGGTACGAGACGACCTTTGCCGCAGGCACGTGGCGGACGTCCGTCGGGGTTCACCAGCAGGTCCAGGTACCGCGCCTGTTGGTCTCACACACAACCCTACTCACCTGAAGGAAAGCCCCCCCTCACCTCGAGGAAGTCTCTTCCGTCGAAGAACCTGCGCAGGTACGAGACCACCTTGGCGCGCGTCTGGAACACGTGGCGGATGTCCGGGTTCACCAGCAGGTCCAGGTACCGCGCCCGGTAGCGCGTCTCCTGGTCCTTGAGAATGTAGTGCTCGGGGTTACGGGGAAGACCCGGTGCCCAAAGGGCAGCTGTGGTGGGACCCTGGAGAGAAAAGGCAGGAGGGAAGGGGGTGGGATGGGAAGGTGAGGGAAGGTAGGGGGTCCCAGTACTGCGCTCGGTAGCGTGTCTTGTGGTCCTTGAGAATATAGTGCTCTGGGTTGCGGGGAAGTCCGGGCGCCCAGATAGCTGCAGTGGGGCCCTGGGAGAGACGTAAGAAGGAGGCAGAGGACCGGGCGAGCAACAGTGAGGCAAAGTAGGCACGAGGAGGTCCAGGTACCGTGCCTGGTAGCGCGTCTCCTGATCCTTGAGAATATGTGCTTGGGGTTGCATGGCAGACCGGGCGCCCAGATGGCTGCTGCTGGGCTCTGGGGAGAGGTACGAAGGAAACATACGAGAATGAATCCCGGTAGCGAGTTTCCTGGTCCTTGAGAATGTAGTGCTCCGGGTTGAGAGGAAGTCCGGGCGCCCAGATAGCAGTAATGGGACCCTGAGAAAAGGGTAGGAACGAGAGGAGTAGTGAGGAGGATGGACGTCGGAAGCAAGGGAGACGGGACGACAAGGGTACCGCGCCCGGTAGCGCGTCTCCTGATCCTTGAGGATGTAGTGCTCGGGGTTATGCGCGGCAGGGCAGGACCCCAGATAGCTGCAGAGGGGCCCTGGAGAATGAAGAAAGAAGGGAAGGGAAGAATCCACGAAGGGTGTGAGTGAGGGTAGGTAGGAGGTTAAAGTACCGCGGCCCAGTAGTGCGACTCCTTGGGAGGCATCATGTGCAGACAGGGCGCCACAACCAGCATGCTGCAGGGGAACGCCTGGAACTGCATAGACCCAATTAAGCCACCGTGGCAGCAACGCCACCAGCAGCAGAAGCACCACCACCATGCGCCTTCTTCTTCTCCTTGGGCATCATGTGCAGACAGGGTGTTGTGCACGAGGTGTTCACGGTATAACGACATATTCCTATCAGATTACATCAGCTTGAGGAGCACCAGCACCAGCAGCGGCAGCAGCAGCAGTACCAGGCGCCTACTTTCTCTCCTTGGGCAGGCGCCAGCACCAGCATGCTGCGGGAGAAAGCCTGTAACTACAGAGGCCTAACAAACCTGCATCTCACACTCCTTCACTTACATCAGCCTGTGCAGTGGCAGCAGGAGCAGCGCCAGCAGCACCAGCAGCACCAGGCGCCTTCTTCTTCTCCTTGGGCATCATGTGCAGACACGGCGCCAGCACCAGCATGCTGCGGGGGAACACGCTGAGCTCGCCGCGCTTGCTCTTCCCGGGGAAGCCTGAGATGCCCACGATGTCCCCCCGCTTGACTGTCCCATGCAGGCGAGTGAACTCCTCCTCGCCTGCCTCCCAGTTCCTGCACACTCACAGGCAGCGAAAGGATTGGTTGGGGAAGGGGGTGGGAAGAGTAACAAGCACAGGCGGGAAACACACTGAGCTCGCCGCGCTTGCTTCTCCCCGGGACGCCTGAGATGCCCACGATGCCTCCCCGCTTCACTGTTGCATGCAGGCGAGTAAACACCTCTTCCCCTGCCTCCCAGTTCCTATGAGCGTAGGGAGAGGAGAAAGAAGAAAGTGGAAGAGAAGGCAGAGGAAGAGACATAGGCGTTTACAGAAAGGAGACAACAGCAGGAGACGAGAGAAAGACACCAGCAACCACGTGAACACCTGTTGAACCCACCTGATGATGTCCTATCTCCTGAAACCATCTGAACCCTCACCTGGCGTCGGCCATGACTTGCACTTTGCAGCCGTCCGCATGGAGGTCATAAAAGACAAGCCGGCCGCCCGACGCCGCCCGTCGCATGACGCGGCCGGCCAGCGAGACCTGCTCGTCCGGCAGCTGCTGTCCGCTTTCCAGGGTTGAGTACTTGGCGAGGTACTCTGGCAGGCGCGTGGAGACGTGGAACTTGTGCGGGTAGGGGTTGCCGCCTGCCGCCTGGATCTCTGTGATGTAGGCCAGTCGGTTCTCATGGTACTTCTGGTGATATTAGGGGGAGGAATCGGAGGGTGGAATCTAGCAAAGGTGAAGATGGGAGCAGTAGGGGTTGCAGCCCACTGCCTGGATCTCATGGTACTTCTGCGAATGTGAGAAGGAGTACTTAAGGGAGCGGGAGGAGAAATGGAAGAGTGGAATAGATAGACTAGAGCGGAAGGTGGGCAGAGTAAGGGCACTGGGACAGGAAGCAGAAAGGAGTGAGAGAAATGGTGGGCCTCTGACGGAGCGAAAGGAGGAAGCACAGAGAAGTTGCCCGCCCGTCTGGAGCATGTACAAGCATCAGCAACATCCATTGAACTTAACTCAGTGACTCACATTGGGGTCCTCTTCCTCGTCCTCCTCTGCGACCTTGGTCTTCGCCTTGTCCCCAGCTGCACCTTGAGCCGCGGCCTTCTCCGCCTGCCACCAATGCCAATGCCGATGTGAATGTGAATGTCGATGTCAATATCAATGTGAATGTGAATGCCAGCGCCAATGTGAATGCCAATGCAATGTGTATATCAATGTCAAGCAAGCAAGCAGAGACCACCGAATGGGAAGATGGATGGTTAGCCGGCTGCAGCAGATTCCAGCAGGTTAAAGGGAGGAGAACCACTCAAATAGGACACGGAAAGTCTGGCACTCAAGGCCTCCTTGGACTTCAGCTCATTCAGGAAGCCATGCTAGAAGCATTCATGATGACATTGAAGCATCCATGATGCCGTTGAAGCATTCATGATGTCATCGAAGCATTCACGATGTCATTGAAGCATTCATGATGCCGCTGAAGCATTCGTGACGTCATTGAAGCATTCATGATGTCATGTCATTGACGCATTCGTGATGTCAATGAAGCATTCGTGATGTCATTGAACCCTTCCTGATGTCATTGAAGCCTTCATGATGTCATTGAAGCGTTCATGATGTCATTGAAGCATTCATGATGTCATTGAAGCATTCAAGATGTCATTGAGAATTCATGATGTCATTGAAGAATGCATGATGTCATTGAAGCATTCAAGATGTCATTGAAGCATTCAAGATGTCATTGAAGTCTTCATGATGTCATTGAAGCGTCCACGATGTCATTGAAGCATTCATGATGTCATTGAAGCATTCATGATGTCGTTGAAGCATTCGTGATGTCATTGAAGCCTTCATGTGTCATTGAAGCATTCACGATGTCATTGAAGCATCCATGATGCCGTTGAAGCATTCATGATGTCACGATGCCATCCATGAAACATCACGAGATCATCCCTGCGCCAGGCTCACCTTGAGTCGGTCCTTCTCCTCCTTCTCCTTCGCCTTCTGCTCCGCCTTGAGCCGACGCTTCAGCTCGCTGCGACGTGACAATAGCGAAGGGAAATTGAAGCGAACGAATAACGACATTGTTTACACAGGGAACCAATGGGTTATCGCATTCCATGACGACGGGAATGAGTGATAGGCAGGAGAAATGCGCAATAGACGCCAGCAAGAAGAATCATGTAAACATGAGCGTTGACCGAGAAATGGACGACGCAACCGACTATGCCTAATCGTCGGAAGAGGGACAGGGTTTAGGAGAAACAGCTAGGCAAAGAAACGGGATTCCGAAACTTTCGTATTTTTTTATAATAAAAATTGGGAATCACCTCTTGCTGATCTTCTCTTCACCATCAGCTGTGGCTTGCTCTGCAGCCGCGGGAGCTGCGGCAGGTGCCGGATCAACAGCAGGATCGGCCATCTGCAGCTGTGGGCTGAAAATAAACAGCCGGCGAAATGATTAACCACAGCCGAAACGAGCACCGGCGAACAGGTAAAGCTGGCCGCGACCCAAGCACTACAAGAAGGGGAGGAGCTTAGAGACCAGGTCACTGGGGATTTGAAGTGAAGCCTTGGCTTGATTCAAGGCTGATCAGGAGCAGGCAAGCCCGAGATAGGGATAGGAAGCAGGAAGTTCCCCAAGGCGGAGCGACGGGTTGAGAAAAGCCGCACGAAAGTTTCATTTGCGGATGGTAACATAATTCTGTCTTCGTCTTCAGACGATGCTCACTCTATGTTTCTCTATGGATCAGGCCCCCAAATGATTCATACCTTTTTCATACTTTTTTTGGGGGTGTACTCTAATTGGGAAGAACTTTTTTTGTACCTTAATCTGATTTTTCAGAGAATATTTATGTACCTACGTTGTTTTTTCAGACTTTTTTCACCAGTGTACTCTGATGCCTCATCTCTGTATGGGGGATTGACTCTGATTCATGTAATACCGTGATTGGGGGTGGGGAGGGCGTGATTTAACTGTGGGGGGCACTGATAGGCCCTTAGCCAAAATCAGGGCGGAATGCTTGCTCGGGGCTTTGTGAGGGCGGTTACTGGCCCTTCACCAAAATTGAAGGCCGATGCGTACTGGGGGCTGTGTGAGGGAGCTGTCTCGCCCTTCACCAAAATCACCTCCCAGTTTGTGATGCGTGCAGTGTGAGAGGCCGATTGGCCCTTTAAAAAAATTGCCGAGGTGTGCTGAGGGCTGTATGTGCTGCGGGCTGCGTGGCCCTTCACGAAATAGCCACCTGGATGGCCCAGATTTCCCTACCTCCCCTACAATTCTGATTTGCCCGCCCCCCAACTCCTTTCCGCCCCATCCCTCTATTTCGTCCCCCACACGCAATTTGTCACGCTCCCGTTGTCAAACAATATATATAATGCATGTTGTTATAGAATATACAGGGTTGTGCTTTATAGAGTAAAACCCATTATATTATACTCCCTTGTATGTCACTGTTCTAATCATTCTTTCACTTCAACATGGTATCAGAGCCATCCGGGGTTCAAATCCTAGTGTACACACTATCTCAGCAGGAGGGGTGTGTCGTGGCACTGGGATAACCCTGTCGATCCTCTTTATATCTCTAGGGAGGGTACTGGGGAGGCTTTCTCCGTGGAAGGTGGATATGTGTGTTACGTGTTATGATATAATTGATACTTAGCATTTCTTTAAGCCGATTAGGTGTAGATAGTGTCGAATCCTACTGTAGAACATAAGTCCGTAGGATGACATCAGCAAATAGCGCTCGTCATAGGACAGTCGTTTCAGTCACGCGAACAGTCGCACCTCTTTATTATCGTTTAGGGCGTATAGCGCGATAGTGACAAACAGGTACATTAGCGAATAGGTACTTTCCTAGAGCTATAAATCTTTGTTGTGTCCTTTTTATTATTAACCTTGAGATTTCAACTTTGAGAACTTTGAGACTTACTTCTGCAGAAACATATACTCAGGTTCATTCTTACATGACTTCCGCTGTCTTACTAGTTTACCATTCCATGAAAGATCCTGGACCAACACTTGAGGATTTTCCAAGTGTTCGTGTTTACAGTTTTATACTTAGTCTTCTACAACATTGGACAAGTTATTTCATGGTATGAGAGCTATCTGGAATTAAGACTACTGTCAACAATTACTGGTTCATCACCAGCACCGTCTACCGGATCAACTTCCGGAACTACTGGAGTACATGTCTCCACGACCGCCACTGGTCTCTCAGCCTCTGGGCCGTTTCCACCAGCCTATGCTGAAATCGGTATGCAACAGCAGAATCCGCCTTCTGTTAACACTCCAGGTGTTTCTTCGACTGCACCTGCAGTGCAACAACAACTATCACAAACAACAGCATGGATGCGAGTGCATCAAAAGAAGTACTTGGAGGCCTTGGCTGAAAACTTTGGGAAGAGTGAAGGTCATGTGGCTACTCCTCTTCCCTCAGGGTTCAAGTGTGTGAAAGGACCAGCGGAGGAAAGTGTTGGTGAAGAGGAGAGGCGGCGTTTTCACTCTTTGGTGGGCAGCCTCATGTATGCGGCCGTTCACACAAGGCCGGATGCAGCCTTTGCTACCGGGCAGCTGGCTAGGTTTGTCCAATGCCCTAATGAAGAGCAGGTAGCAGCTGGAGAGAGGTTGGCCAAGTATCTTGGCCAAACAGCAACTGTTGGACTGCAATACTCCGCGGCGGCACAAAGGCGTCAAAAGGGTGCGGATGGAGTCGAACCCGGGAGGCTCTTTCTCACCGCCTTCTCTGATGCATCTTGGGCATCAGAACCAGAGGACATGACAAGTGTGGGAGGCCTCATCTGCTGTCTTGGTGGAGGACCAACAGCTTGGGAGAGCAAGAAACAAGTGGACCAAGCATTGAGCTCAGTGGAGTCCGAGTACATGGCACTCTTCCGTGCCATAAGAGAGGTTGTGTGGCAGCGGCGTTTGCTAGCTGAATTGGGGGAGGAGCAGCAAGGACCTACCCCACTCTACTGTGATAGCCAGGGTGCTATTGCATTGGCTAAGAACCCCGTGCTTCATGGCCTTACCAAGCACATGAAGGTGAAGTGGCATTGGGTGAGGAGCATCGTAACCGCGGGTGAAGTGGAGTTGCACTACGTGAAGACGACGGCGCAGCCTGCTGATATGATGACCAAGAGGCTGGTTGAGCAGCAGCATTGGAAGTGTTGCAAGCTTGCTGGGATGGCTCTGAACTAAGGGGAGCAGATTCTAAGGCCAACAATCCGAGGGGGAGTTTGTTGGTGCAACCCTATGGCTTGCACTCGGCTTGTCGTCCTTGTTTGTGTGTGTGCATGCATGGCATGGAATGAATTGTGAGTCTATGTCATTGCTGTCCAGTGCTTGTGTGTGTGTTTGAATGGTGTATCACAATGTGGTTTGTGTCGGTCAAGACATTAGCGAGTTTTTACAACTCGCATGTCAAGTCGTCGTTTGCGCGTCGCATGCGTTTTTCTATTTTGTCGAGTGTGAAGTGTCCATCGCGTCGCAGGTGTGTGCAGCAAGCCCCCATCAACTCAAGAAGAATTTATCTTGCAGAACCAAGACCAAGAGCTCAAGATTTCAAGCCCAAGGGACACGGATAAATATTAAATAGTGAAAATAGTAACGCTACTTCGTGTAGTGTGACATTTCACTTGGTGTAACCCCTTGGAGGGTTGGTTTCGAGACTCTTCGTGGTTGGGGACTCTGTGGTGGTGTACCACCAACCTGGACCTCGGCTCTTAGGGTATGTAGAGGCTGGGAACCATCTTCCTCTCGAATTCTTCTTGCTAAGTTTGTACTTCTAAGACTATAGTGGCTGCTATACCTCGTGCCAATCAAACCGCCATAGCGTCGTCAAATCTTCATGGAACTTCATGATTCAACTTGCTGCCGATAAACGACAGCAACGCGCTCCAGATCCAACTTACAGCTCACTGTTTAAGTCAAAGAGCACATCGTTATCAATATTTAAGGCCGTCTGATGGAAATCCGACTGTGCTCTCTATCTCTCATCATAGGCACATCTAAGCCTATTGTGATTATAACAGTATCTCACGGTACTTTTTGCTGGTCTTGGACCCGAATAGCGACAGACACGCGCCTTCTTGCGAATGAACCCGAACCTTACCGAAGCCGAAATCTCCTCATATCTTCAAGTAGAGCAGCAAGATCTTGACCTGTAGTCACAACGCAATCAGAAGAGAGGGGTTCATTTAAGTTTTTACTCCAATCCAGAACCACAGCATCGACATCCTCCAAAATATCAATTCTGCCATTTTTGTAAGAAACCAGGACATACTTAAATTGTCGCAGCCGTCGTCAAAATCGACACAGCACTTCATAGCCATATCACCGATCACAGCAGTTAACGAATACACAATGGCCACCGCAGCAGTTAACGAATACACAACAGCCACCGCAGCAGTTACCGTCTCAGCAGCAGCAGATGCCGAAACCGCCACAGAATTCATCGACGTCTCAGAATCGCCCGCCGGTCTTCGCATCTGCCACGTCAGGAAAAGGAGTTTTTGGATGTGTTACCACAGTTGATGTTTCCGAAGCAGATTTTGAGACACGACTTGAAGAAACCACAAGTGCTGAAGGCATTCCCTTACCTCAAGTTTATGCTAACCTTGCTCGAATCATTTCAGGTCCGAATACTTGGTATCTCGACAGCTGCTGCGGTTGGCACATGTGCTCCGCAGAAACAAGCTTCATTACGAACCAGCGTCCACTTCGTCGTCCGATACCTGTCACAGTCGCAAATGGACAAACTATTATGGCACGTTCTGTTGGGAGTGTAATGCTCGAATCTATCGACACGGGATATTCACTACACGTTACCAATGTTCTTATCGTCGCTGGGCTTGGCTTCAATCTTCTCTCCACGGCTCAGCTCCTGGCACACAAAATACGCACAAAGGGAAATTGTGAAACGATGGATCAGGAGCTCTGGCACAGTTCAACGAATACTTACCTTGGTCGTGCCGCCACTCAACATGGCGTGTCCGTTCTTCAGTTCGCAGCCCAAGGAACTTCTGGAGATTCTGAACACGTCCTTGCCCTTGGTCCCTGGGATCACCCAGAAGAAACATATTATCAGCACGTGGATATTGATTTTCGAGCAACTACTGTATCAACAGCTTCTCGACCTACAGCCGCCGTACTTACAGCTTTGGATACCTGGGAGTTCAATATCGCCGATGAAAGCGCCACCGTGTGGCGAACGTTTTATAATACTCGTGCCGCTCTTCAAGGAACTCCAGCTCCACTTTGGGGGGAAATTAGTGGCCTAGCAGCTGATGAACCTGACATCGTTGAAGAAGCCGAAAAGGAAGCAGTCGCTGAGCAGCAAAGTCCAATAGCAGCTATCACCGAAACACCTGCCACAACATCAACCGAAGCAGCATCAGAAGTTGCCATCGCAACTGCAGCAGTACCTTCAAATGTTCCATTACCACTTACACGTTTTGTTGAAGGAGAAGTTGACAGGTCACCAGCGCTTTCTCCTTTTATCATTTCTTCTTTCTATACTGCGATCATCAGGTCACAAAGCCACAGAAGATATCTGGCATCAGCGGTTAGGACATCCATCACAAGGGATACTTAATCATTCAATCCGAGCAGCAATTCTTGA